AAAATTATAATACGCATATAGTACCCATTTCTTTTGGCATAATTACTGGTCAATTTATCAAACAGATAGCTCTTAGAGCCCCTCATTTTAAGACAAGAGTATGTATTACTTTGTACTTTTTACACTGCATTTTTTTATTCTGGAGAATGATTCTGCTTTCTTCGGAACATAAGTCCCTTAAACAGGGTTCATAGCTACATTTTAGTTAAAAAAATAAGCACCTATAAGTACTTTTCAAGCACATTTTAAGAAAAAAAATAAGCACCTGTCTAATTACATTATACACAACTGAATAACTTCAAAAATTAGATTCGTAATTTAAAATATGAGAAATGCAGCATTTATTAAGAGAGAATAAGCATTACCTCAACCATGGAAAATAATTACTTTTTTTTTTAATTTTAAATAACAGTTCAATTTACAGAACTTGTTTACAATGAGAGGGGAAAAAAACTATGCAGAACTAAACTAGATTACAAGATTTAATGATGAAATTTCAGTTCAAAATAGAGGAAATAAATAATAATAAGGCATATTTATTCTATTCGCTTGAAACTTAATAATAAATACAATTTATTTTTCCACTCATATTGATATTTAACTAATTTAAATCTAAATTCTGAATATTTTCTAAATTTTCATCGTATATCAGTTTTCCCTTAACAGATATTGCAAGCAAAGTAATTTAAGCAAAAAAGAGGAACATTTCTGACATTAGAAGACAGAAGTTTGCTTCATGCAGTCATCCTTTAACAGTAAAAGCTTAATTACACGCATACTTAAAAATTTGGTGAATATTCGGACAGTTGAGCATAACTTTAAAAAGAGGAGCGGAGGGGGGGGGATAGACTGTAGCCGTTCTTTACATTTTTCCGCTAAATAAATGCTTTGGACATTTCGATATGTGCATCATATAAAAACAAACCAACGGAACAGAAAAATATTCTGCTTAGCAAGCACAGTAAAACTCTTTTAAGTGTTCATAAACAAATCTTGGACCGAACATCAAAATTAATATCTCTGCAAAATATCGCAAACGTTATTGCACAATATGTGCGCCATAATTCTTCCTACATGATATTACGCAATCGGATTCAACAACTGCCAGTATTGGGGGAATAAAGAACTAAATAAAGGAAAAGAAAGAGACCACTCTGGGGTGTTTTTCATTCTAATTTTCAACAGACTGCGTTACATTTCCAGAATAGAATCATTCTTCGCTTGGGTTGGTAGACCGCAGAACTTTTAGTCCTATTCAATCCAGATTGGAAAGTGTCAACAACAACAACAACAAAAAAAAAAAAAAAAAAAAAAAGTCCGTTGCTTGTTTTGCAGCAAACTGTAACAGTTTCAATAGTCGAGATTTTGCGGAGAAAGGGGAGAACCTCCCAACCTTCGTACTGTATAATGATGTATTGGCCAAAAAAAATGAAACTATTTTGACTATTCGATTACTTTCCCTTTAGTTAAGCCATTCCGAATATCATTAATTAGAAAGCTAATCTGCGTTAAAACACAACCATTTTTGGAAGTTTACTATACTTCAGGAGTTACTGCAACTATGTTATTATAAACATTCATACATATGCTCATAATATAAGCATAACGATCATAATAAACACAAATATGAACTGACCATGCGGAACGATAATGCAAATTATTAAGATCTTGATGGAAATTCAAACGTGTGTAGTATTTGGGTGGGAGGAAAAGAATGCCGAATGTACCGGAATTTTCTACTGCTTTCACAATTCTTTGACCAACAGAATGACGGGCACCTGTCTGTACTCTCTGCACACACCAAAGGTTATGTTAATGCAGAGAAAAGGGGAAAAGCTATTTCCGGGAGTATGATTCACCATCTGACATTCCATTTTTATTAGGAAGCAAAGTTGTTTATTTAGTTTCAGCTTTGGTACGGGGAAAAATTGCGCTTTCAAAAGCACTAAAAGCAAAAATAAGCACTAAAAACAAAAAAATAAGGGCTTTAAAGAAAAGAAGTAAGCACCTATAAGGGCCTTTATATTTTATTTTCAAATATAAGGACTTATGAGCACTTATAAGGACCACTACGAACCCTGTTAAAACTGTGTCCTGTGTGACTTCAGAAACCCATTCCTGAGCACAAAGCAATCTATCAATATAGCAAATGAATTTGTATTTTTGAACAATATATGTGCAGATTTATGGTTCCACTGTAGTGATGTTGATTTATAAACCTATTATATGACATCAAAATTTCCATTTACCTGAATCGGAAAAAAGGGAGAAATTTGTCACTTTTCAAAATGACAATTTTTCTCTAATCTAATAAAACTAGAGGTTCAAAATTCTGATTTATATTTTAAACAAGATTACTGTGTAGTATGTTTTTCACACAAATTTCAACTGAAAAAAGTATAATAGTTATTTAAATGTGAAAAATAATATGGCAATTCTAACAGAAATTAAGTAAATAATTTGCAAGGGGAAAAAACTCAAATTTACAGATTTATTGAATATTTAAAGAAAATTTTAAAGTTTGTCAAACATCAGAAAATACTCTAAATTAACAAAATGAATCAAGGAAATTCACACCAAGATAAAAATACTACCCTAGTTTTAATTCATCTTATACCACTTAGCTCTGTGCAGTAAAAAGACATAAAATTAAAATTACTACAAATAATTAAAAGCCGTACTAATTGCACATAAAGTTATAGAAAATACACACATAGCCTTATTTCACAGCACCTGAGTGCCCAGCATTAAAAATAAAAGTACCCTAATATTAAAATTGGCAACAAGAACACACAAAAAAATGTTTTTCAGTTATATTATAACTGACTACCTGAGACAAATGAAGATATAAAGTTTTCATAAAATGCATAGAGAATGAGAATTTACACTGATTAATTTCAAGCAACTAATTAAGAAAGAGTCAATTTATACAATAAAGAATGGTGAGAAGAATTCATTGTACATTCCAACACTTCAAAATGACTATTTTATGCAGCTCATTGGAATTCTTCTAAAACAGGTAAACTAATCCAGAAGTTATTTTAACAAAAAGTAAAGAATTAACAATTATGCCTTTTTATAACAAGATATTTTTCTTCTCAAGCATAGTAATCTTAATGTGCAGAATTCATGTTTTGCTGTAATATTATGTGCAACTTTTGAAGAAAAATGATAAATTGTGATAATGTTGATAACAAACTGATTTTAATATTACCATAAGTAAGACTGTTAGATATTAAATAAGAAAATATGAAAAATAAGACAAAAATTTCTAATACAAATCAGAATTTTTAAATGATTTATCATTATTTAAACATTAATGTAGTCAATAGTTAAGAAATTTCATGGTGATTACAGATGCATTTTTAAGTAATTGATTAAATCATACTATCCTAATCTCAACAATTTTAATAGATTAAGAGAAGCATGCCACCTTGAATTTAAAATTAAGCAAAATTCAACTTCACACACACTACTGTTTACTTTCCAGAAAAGTACTTAGAAAGCATCTGACATGGATCTGTCCTCTTTAAAGAGCAAAATTGTTCTGCTAAAAGACAAATTATGAACAGAATACATTTGCTCCTTCAAGAAATGAGATTTTTATTAGCATCTCTGAAATTATACTATACTAACACCCCACCCAAAAAAATATAAGCAAACAAAATAGATTCTTTCTTAGAAAGAAGAGATTTCCATTACAAAATCATTTTACCAAAAGATAAATTTTTGAATAGAATACTTATGTTCTTTGAAGAAAATACTTATACTTAATTCTCTCAATATTCTTGTTTCATAATATTCTTGTTTCTTGAACGGAAGAGATTACAATTTTCCAAACTTCTTAATTTCCTCCGGACTTTTTGTGATGTATATTTTATATAGTTACTATGAGAAAAGGAGATTCCAAGAAGAAAATAGTTGAATAAGGAAGTAATAATAAATAAAAGTATATAAAACTGTTAACAATTAATTATTATAAATTAACTCTTAATTATAAGTATATACATATTAAACATTTATGACTCATGAAATGTTTTTGAAGCATTTGTGTAAATGCTTCAAAATGTTTCATGAGTCATAAAAAATTATTATGCCTTCATCCACATTTTTTAAACCCCTTTCATTCCTTTCAAAATTACATTACTAAAACACAGATCACAAACAGAATAATTTTGCTCTTTAAGTAATCTTTTCATTAAAAAAAGACATTTCTGTCATTTCAGAATTACCAGACAAAATACAAACCACGAGCAGAATAATTTTGTTTCTTGAAGATAGAATTTAAAAAATAAGGCCTTTATCCCAGATGCAATCAGAAGGTAGCTTCTCTGAAAATTACACTGACATAGTCTAATCATGAGCAGAATAATTTTGCTCTATGAAGAAATAATTAAACCTTCTATTCAACCAGACTTTATCAAAAGCTCTGATAATATCCAGAAATGCTAACTCAGTAATTTTGAGTTAAAACACATCGCTATTTTAGTAATTACTCCAAGAAATTGAAACGTGATATTACAAGTTGGTTTGGAATTTGAGTTGTTCTGGGAAAATACGACATAGTGTTGTGCATAATCTGCAGGTAGAATAGCTCTTACAACAACAGGAATTGGACTAAAATTAGAAAACATGCACATTTGTCTGGATATTTTATTTGCTGTATGCAGTTTTTGATTCTTTTAAAGAAAAACATAAATTTGCCTAAAGTGAAATATGCACATTTGTCAACATATTTCAAACAACATATTTCACTTAACTAACTTCAAAACTAACAACATATTTCACTTATTTTATGCAAATTCCTATTTTGAAATTTTTGATACCTTTAAAGTGATATCAGCATGTTTTACTGATCTTAACCACTTCTTGCAACTAATTTTTGATTTCTTTAGAACTGGTATTTGGTATTGCCTTTCATATTATGATGAATCTGCAGTTTTGTGGGAATCAGTGTCTCAAGACTTCCCCAACATGCTTACAGCTTTAACTAAAATAAATGGTTAGGGTTGAATTTTGCTTAATTTGGAACTTACTTTAATAATTATTATGAACAAAATACCATACAGCTAACTAAGCAATTTAGGAAACTGTAATACACTATAAAAAAATTAAAAACATAACTCATATATGGACCACATATTACAAAGTATTTACTAATGATGAAATATTTCCTGCATTGGAGTTACATATAATAAACAATGGATTTAAATTTGCTTTACATTCTGGATCTTTAATAAATGCTGAAAACATTTGGGGGGGGAATTGAAAAATACATAACCAGATTACTCTTCTACGTACAACACAGGAACAAGTCTTTACTTGGTAACTTATCATAAATTTTGTACCTACAAGTTTATTTCAGATGCAAAGGACTAGAAATCACAAGCTACTACAATCTACTATAATTTATTTGTTTTTAAAAAATGAAAAAAGAAATTTAAAAATGAAGTTCATTTGTTTGGCTCTGTTTCACACAACAATACAGACTTCTATTACATTATATGAACCATTTCTAAATGAAAAGAAACAATTATTCAATTGACAGTATAAAAATAAGCGAAAAACGAATCATTTACTGTGATGATGAGGGGAATAATCACTTGCATTAACAAAGAACATATTTTAACTCACAAATTATTATATTTTCACTGACATCATGACCTTAACTGTACACAACAGCACTGCAAGGAGGAAGTAGTAGAAAGCCCTTTTTAATAACTACTTCTGGAAGCATGGAATAGTTAAGCTTTCATCAGAACGTACAAACACTGGCTCAAAAATCCATGTACTGCTAAACCTTTCACAACCGGGCTATCAACAGACATTCAAACACAATTACACTTCTGAACCATACTCTTTTATTAGTTTACATACTACTTACAACAGCACTGCCAGAAACGGAAATTCCCTGGCAGTGAAATAACAAAACAAGTTCAATTACGAGCCAAAATGTTGCAGTTTTGCCATTTTGTTTCAAGTCCACAGTATTTTTTTATACATATACTTATTTATATATATAATTTATATATATATAATTATAATGTATGTGTGTGGATGTGTCAGTCTTTCAACCACACCAGCCTATCACAGCAACATCTTTCCCCCCCACTAACTTCCTTGGCAGACTCCGAGTGATTTAGGAACAAGGAATGAAGCAAAGAATTCAGCACGAGGTTGTGTGCACTTTCCTCGGAAAATGGGATTGCTGTCGAAAAGTGAGGACACAGTTTTTAACAATGCAGATTAAGCAGCAGACAACCTTGAGCCGCAACACCCTCAGCGTGGTCCAAGAACGCAGAAGGCTATGTACACACATTCCAAAGAGAGACTTAGTAACTAGAACACAAGGCTATGTTTTGTCCAGAGAGGCACTGGACTGTCGACTGTGTTTGGAGTAATTAGGTTTTAAATAATCTTCGCTTGAGAGTGAAATAACATCTATTCGATCTTCTTTCCTATATTGTAGGCACCTCCGAATGAAATTCTAGAGAAAGGGGAAAAAATATATTTCATATAACTTTGTATTTACATTCTGCATTGAGTTTAGCAACTAGAAACAATATGTACACAAGAAACAGCTAATTACTTTCAAGAAATAACAAATACAACATGTTTCCTCAAAGAAGAGAATACACACAGTAAAAAGTTTTTCAATTTTATTATAGATTGCAGAGTTTTTCTAATGAATAAAAGAATAGCAATTTTTAATCTTCTTTCTTATGAAATATAACAACAAAGATTTACAAGTAAACCACAGAAAACAAAATTCAATAACTATAATTCTTTCCTGCTAAGGTGACTTATGCTGCTCTATGAAAAAAAAGACTGCTTTCTCTATGAAAAACAGCATGTACATTATTATTGTATTTAGTGCCTAATAACAGTTAGTGAATTTTAATGCTACCAAACCCCTACACACTCAAACATGGAACCTTGTTACAACTGCAAAACTGGCAGTTTTATCATTTCAAATTTTTTTAATGCTTTTGCCTCACCTTATCACTAGATAATTGTTTATCATTTGCTTGTTGCAACCAAATTATTAAAATTACACACTTCTATTTTTTAGAATTTTAGTGGACAGCAAAACAAGATTTCACTCCATCTACAACCTATTATTTCAATGTACAAATACTTAGAATAATCAACTTCAAACCAATTCTCAACCGTTCATACAAGACGTCAAACTAAACTCAGTGGCACAACAGCCTTAGTGCCCCATAGCATGCAGTGCCCCAAAATCTGCTTTCTTGACCTACAAGAAGTTAACTCTTAATTATTCTTTAATTCTCCTATGCAATTATATGAGCATTTCTGCCAGTCTCATTTATGTCTTGCCAGTGCACCATAAAGAACATCTCTGGTGCAGCAAAAGAGGTAAAATATTAAATCTTACATTAAATCTGAAGAGATTATCATAAAATTGTGCAATAATTAATAAGATCTCATTTATTGAGCGGCAAAACAAAAAATGAAGTTGTTCCTAGATACACATACACCTTTTACAAAATGATTAAAATAACCAAAATACAGAGGCCGTTCGCACATTTTTTAGACGATTTTTTTAAGCGGTAATAAAAAATTTTTTGCTGCAAAAGAAATAATTGCAATTGTACTATGTTTTTAAAAGTCAAAATTATCATCTGTGGCTTGAAAGTTTTCTTTTTATTCAAAATGGCGAATTTAACAAAGCAGTAGTTCGAAGGCTACATTTACGCTCTTTCCGAAGAGAAATATGCATACTCCGTTATCCAAAAACGATGTGAGAGTCATAGTTTTGTGATATCTAAAGCTTCGATAGCTAATATCATCAACAAGAAAGGAAACAAACATCAAATTGGAGCCTCAAGTGGGACAAAAATTCCAAACAAGTATCCCAGGAAAAAACGGACATCTTCAACTATTGCAGAGGTACGTTGTTTAATGTTAAAAGAAAATACCCCTAGTCAAAGGACAGTTGCAAAATGATTCAAATGCTCGGTGTCCACCATAAACAAAATGATAAACGTTGATTTAAATCTTAAGAAAGCGAAATAACGCAATGTGCATCGTCTTCTTCCAAAGCATATCGCTCAACGCAGAACACGCTGCAGAATTCTATATGAGAAACACTTATCCAAAGAAAAATGGAAAACAATTGTCACAATAGATGAAGCATGGGTGTATTTAAATGATTGTAACAAAAAAAGAGCTATTTATTATCATAAAAGGGGAGAAAAAATTTAAGTACACGGTTCAAAGAATCGAAAGAAAGTTTTTCTAAGGGATTCGTGATTGTTGCTGGTTTTTCTTATAATGGTAAGTTAAAAATAAAGAGTGCAAAAAAAAAAAAAAAAAAAAAAAAAAAAAAAAAAATCAAGATTAACTCTAAATACTATCAGGAACATATTTTATGGCTAATTTTTCTGAATGAAATACCATCGCTTTACCCAGAGTGCCATCAATCTGTGAGACTCCATCAGGACAAAGCTAGTAGTTACACATCAAAATCCACTGTAAATTTCCTAAAAGAAATGGAACAAAAAACTGATATCCAGTCCATACCCTTCACTGATATCCCTACTAAATCTCCTGATGTGTCACTTATGGATTTTTGTGTTTTCCGACTTTTGTGCTTTTCTTTTTATTCAAAATGGCGAATTTAACAAAGCAGTAGTTCGAAGGCTACATTTACGCTCTTTCCGAAGAGAAATATGCATACTTTGTTTATCTTTATCTTTAATGCTGCGGCACCGTGCAATGAATTGGAAGTTGATCTGTCAGCACTATCCTTACCTTCAGGGCAGATGTTTTTATTTTATTTGGCCTATAATTCCTTACTAAATGTAGTATTTGCTCGTCTGAAAACTGCATTATCCAAACGTTGTCCCGAAACCCCAAAACTTTGACAGGACTCTGGAAAGCTGTTCAGGAGGAATGGGATAGAATACCTCTTCTGCCACTTCAAAAGGCATTATTATCCTGGAAATTGCGGTGTCGAAAGAAAGTTCAGAATAAAGGATGTCAAATAGAACATTTAAAACACAAGAATTTTATGTAATTTAGTTTTGTGAATACAATATACATTGTCTAAAAAATGTGTGAACAGCCTCTGTATGTATGGCTTAAAAGATATATTTGAGTGATTTTGAGACATTTTTTGGCAATTTTAGTATTATTAGATATGAAGAAGTTTTTATAAGCTGAAGGTTACTAAGCTTGTCATGTTGAGATCATGTTTAAGTAGAGAACATTTGAATTTCTTTGCATTTATATCAACAGAAAATAACACATAGAATTCATTTACAATAGACTACAAGTGAAAAAAATTACTTAGTTACTACTTACTAGTGATTATTAAAATATATCTTTAATTAGTTTTTAATTAAAGATATATTTTAGTTGAAAATATTGATATATGGAATAGGTATGGGGCAGAGACAAGTGATCACCTAAGGTGTTGAAAATGCTAGAACTAGCCCTGTTTAGAATCAACTTAAAACAACTTATCAGGGTTTTGTCGAAAGTTTCCCACCACCGCAAATATCAACTGCGCAAACAGTTCGTGTTGGCGTGTTAAATCCCATTTAGTCAAACGATTTTTTGGCATTTGAAAGAAAGACTTGATTTAGAAACGTCGTGTTGTGAAATTTGTAAAAAAATATCTGTTTCATTAAGTTGAAGGTGTCTGAAATCGAACTACCATGCTGCAGATTAGAACCATCACTTAATTGCAAAAAATCAGAAAAAAAAAAAAAAAAAACTAAATCATGTTTACAGCTTTAGGTACTAATGTTGTATCATATGACAGTGTGAAGGTTTGGTACCGAAAGTTCAAAAACGAGGACTATGACATTAAAAAAGCAGAGCGGTCTGGCTGGCCTACTGATGCTGATGAGGCCCACCTGCAAGAACCTCTTAAAGAAGATCAGTATGCAAATACTGGAGCACTTACTAAGGAGCTTGCCATTAGTACCATGTCCATTAGTTGCGCTATGCATTGCATAAACTTGATGTACAAGTTTAATCACTGGGTGGCGCAGGAGCTGACTCAAGCAGATAGGACAGACGTGCTTTAGGCCTGCACTAATCTGCTCAAGTATCAGTACAAAAGTCTGGACCGAATCCTGACTTGTGATAAAAAGTGGATTTACTTCTACAACATAGCCCGAATAGATAGTTGGTCTGCACCCGGTGAGCCCATCAGCAGTATCGCAAAGCACAATTTGACTAACAAAAAAAAAAATCATGCTTTATATCTGGTGGGACTGCTGTGGTATTATTTGCAAAGAGAATTGGAAAAAGGTAAAACCCTTGAAAGTATAAGATGTACAGCGAGATGCTAGTCCGTATTGACACTTCTGTCAAGAAAAACATCGAACTGAGTTCCGGCACAAAAAAGTAATGTTCCATCAAGAAAATGCAAGACCACATATGTCTGCATTCACCAGCTGGACTCTATACAGACTCGAATGGGATCTTTTGCCACACCCACAATAGAGCCCCCGACATCACTCCTTCGGACTTCTACCTTTTTTACATCTGCAGCTACATCTAGCTGGTGCTATCTTCTATTCTCTACAGTACATCCGAAATGAGGCTGATCTGTTTTTGAACTCACCGCCAAGTTACTGGGCTGAAGGCTTTGATAAACTACCAAAATGTTGGCATAAATTCATAGATTTGGGTGGTGATTACTAACTGCACTAAAGGTAGTGTTTTTATGTTTTTTCCCCCTCCTAACTTTATTAAGAACGTTTTTTTGGCGGAAAATTTTCGTTACAACCAGATATTTATTGCCAGCGTTCTGGGAGTAACAACAAACTTAATTTTTTCTTACTCACAGAATGCAATATATGAAACATGTTTCAATAGATTTTTTTGAGCTGCAAATTCTGAAAATTATGCCAATTTTTTTATTGTGTGGAATTTCATATTTCAAATGTGACTAAAATATATTTAAAGATATTATTGGCTTTCAAAGAGTCAATACTTCCCAAAATAACTGCAATGGATAAATAACGCCCCATACTGCTTCAATACAGAGTGAGGCAGAAACAACAAAAAATGAAAATAGGATTGCAGAAAATGATAAGTTACAAAATGTGTATTCCACAATGTGTGCAGCTGAAATGTTAAACATAAAAATAAATCTAAGGAGTAATCACACAACACACCATTAAAATACACAACAAGGATCTTTAAATTTTCAAAATTAAGTATTGTAATGTTACAGACAACATACCTTGGCCTCAATACTAACTACAGGTTTGGCGGGAAATTCCACTTCTGTTGCTTTTAGGATGGTATTTTCTTCTAATATGGTTGCTTGTGACTGATTGTGACCAAATGGCTGAAACGGGGTAAAACAAAGCAACTTAATTTTTAAATACATTTATCCTTACAAATGAGAGACGCATTTTCTATATACAGCAGTTATACACTATTACACTACAAAATCCTGAGATCTGGAATCGTTTGGACTCCAGCAATTCCAGCTTTTAGAACTTTCTGGATCTGGGATCATCAAATTAAATCTAGTAACAGGAAATGTAGTAAGAGGAATCTAGTAAGTCTAGCAAGAGGACAACATCCACTTATTGTTCAGGACAAAGAGAAAAATGCTAACCCCTAACAGGGCAGTGCCACAGCTGGTGTAGTTGCACACGGGAAGCACTGGGCAGTAGAATTTAGAGGAGGTAATTTTTTTTTTTTAATCTACGGAAGCAATAGGCGATAGAATTTAGGACCTGCAGAGATTGCATCAGGTGGCAAAGTGTGTCGGCTCTGCCTCCTCCAACACGCAGCCTTGGGTTTAAAATACGGTTCTGGTCAACATCAATCAATATACTGTAATTGGCTACAACTTCCAAGTCAGCAGATGTTTGAAAGTGACATACCTGAGTCTCATTTAGTCAGGAGAAAAATCATGGTTCTGGCACGCCTGCTTCCTTTTGTTGAGTATTATATTCTCCATTCCTGTATATTGTACGTGGAGAATGATTTTTATTATTATCATTGGCTCTTAGTTCGGATATTAGATCATTCCAGACAGTGGATTTCTGCATTTCAGACTTTGTACTGTGTAGATTAAACAAACCTTCTGTAAACCATTTAGATATTTTTCCCTATTCATAAATTTTTAACAACTTATTAAGTCCAATCTGATCTATAAACATCACTTAATACTTTTACACAGCCACAAGAACTGATATTCAGGTAAAATATGAAGTAATATATATGCATGATATTTTCATACAAATTATGATTAATCTAAAAAATCTAAAGATACATTTCTCAAAATCTTGTTTATTTACGTGAATAAACAAGGTAGTTAATATGATCCTCCTCCATTAAGCTGTAAGATTAAGTAAATAGATAGAATTGCTTTAAAATTCTAAAAATAAATGAATTTCGAAAAAGAGGTGTGTAACAGACACAAGCTTAAATTACCTTTATGACATCAGTTAACAAACTGCTATGAAAAATAATAATATGCAAAGTACATATAAGCAGTAAATAAATTAGTTTTTTTAAACTGGAAGGACCATTATAAACATAAAAATTTCTTTATAGTTAATAGTGCAACTGCAGCATTTTAAACATGTAAGCACCCGCCCCTCCAAATTTTTCTCTTAGTTCTTTACTTTTTATTAAATCACAAACAACTTGGTACCAAAAACTGCATTTCCGAAGCATCTATATTTTTAGTCCAGAAATATACGGTGATTTCTTTAAATATGAATTTCATCATCAATATTTATCAACTATTCCTATCACTTTATAGAGACATTAGGTTATTTTGAAGCATGGACATGAAAAATGAACAATGCCCTTGACAGGACTCGAACTCACTGACCTCTCAAAAACTCGCCGAGGGTGCTGGTCACTACACCACGAAGGCCTACTAAAGAAGGCGAGAGAAATACCTTATATACTCCCCATTTTAAAGGGTGACTGGGAATTAGGGAACCCAGTCACCAAATCCTGGTGGTGGAGAATCATCATCACCCACCCTTTTAGTTTGGGCGCCACTGTAGAGACTATTAGGTTATTTCGAAGCAGGAGACATGAAAATTAGCAATGCTCTCACCGGGACTTGAACCACAGACCTCTCGAATATGTGCCAAGTGTGCTGACCACTACAACACAAAGGCATGCTACGTAGGTGGGAGAAATACCCTATAACTTTAAAAACAAATATGTTTTTTAATATTATAACTAGCTGCTTACATAGCCAGATGCCTAAATTAGTTTATATAAAAAAAAGAAACACATAATTTCAATGTATCCAACTAGTGTAATTTTATGTTCAGCTAGTAATTAATAATAATAAAAACTGCATTCATTTAGATATTATCAAAATTTGGGCTTTGAGGTGTACATGTGTAGATGAAGGAGGTGCTCAAAATTTGGTGGCTCTAGGTGCTGCCATTTTTCCATAATACAAGGAAAGTACATATCTATATATACTTCATACTTAATAACAGAGATAATGGCATTTTATTATACCTAAAACTTTTCCAAATACTTTTATTTTCTTCCTAGATAGGTGGTTGGATTAGGCTACAGTAATACTTATTTCCCATATGAATGTCATGAAATGTATATTAATAAAAATCAATAATTTCCCCAACATGTTAAACTAATAATGTTAAACAACTTGATGAATAGTAGTTGATGAACAACTTGATGAACAAATATTAGTTGTACAAAGAGAACTGCAAAGTAAATGCACAGTTCAATTCATTTATATTAAAAACTGAGCTTTAATATCATTATACTAAATTCAAAAATATAAAACTAAAAGAAATTATACAATGAAAAAAATTAACACTTACTTTTTTCCCATAGAGGCACTGGTAAAATATAACACCTACACTCCAGACATCAACTTTAGAAGATATTTTAGGTGGAGTTTTACCTACAACAAAACACTCAGGAGGAAGATACCTGGAAATTTTAATAGAGATAAGTAAAAACTATATTTAGTAGCTTTTTTCAAGCCAAAGCAAAAATTAAAATCTAAAATAAAAGAGTTATGCTCCACACTCAAGTAATATAAACGGGAAATTGTTACTGAATTTTAATTAAAAATTTGTAAATATTTAAAAGTTTTTTAAATGTCTATTTCAAAGTACACTGCATTTTAAATTTACTCACTAAATCAATTAGAGCATCATAAAATTTTTATTATATATAGAAATAATTTGCACAAAAACACTTTGATTTAGACAAAAGTTAGAGAGAAACTGAGAGAAAGAGCAGTTAGAAAATTATTTGGTGAATCAGGAAATATCTATACCAATTGGCATATATTTCATAAACATTTATAAATAACAGATAAAACAGCTGTATGAATATACTATGAAAAAAAATTATTACATAATATATAAGATGATCAAATATTTCTGACTTTCCTACAAATTTCCATGGTGACATATAACACATGCAAAGAAATTTTTTCATTTCTATATTCAAACGTAGTTTCTCAACACTAACTATGATCATTTTAATCGATTCCTCTTAAAATTTCAGTAAGGAAATGCTTTTAAAAACTTATAGTAATAGACACATGATTCAACTACAGTGAATTATCTCTATCAAATGATAGCTTTTGTTAATAAAGTCTGAAGAGAAAGACAGTGGATGTTAACATTCTTTGTACATTATGCAATTAGCTCATTTTGATTTCCATGAATCAATGATTCCATCAATATGTGATTAGATATTTATTTTTCACTTTTTTATATTGATATATATATATATCCTCATTTTGATTTCCATAAATTAATGATTCCATCAATATGAGATTAAGACATTCATTTTGCATTTTTTATTAATATATATATAAACTTGAGTCCTTATTTGCATATATGTCTTTCTGTATCTGTTTACTTGCATTCACTATGAAGCACTGAACAAAAACTTATACAAATGTATTATTTACATTTGCATATCAAGATTACAGGTTGTGTATAAAGATTTACAAGATTACAGGTACCCTCTTCCCAAAGAAAAGAGTTCCGAAATCATCAGTTATTGTCAGAAAGGTCTTTTTCATTACAAATCCCTGAAAATGTATACTAACCAATATGTTCCAGCACCTTGAGAAGTAAGATCCATACCCACTTCAGGACTATAATTTTCATCATCCATAATTTTACTTAAACCAAAATCTGTGATTTTTATCTCACCACTACCTAATAGGATATTTCCTAAAAATAAATAAGGGAGAGATTTAAAAAAGTAATTAACAAATAAATGTGCCAAAAAGACATTATTTCATTTTTTTAAATAATAACAAGAGAATAATTACATTTTTGCTTTAGAAATACAAAGACATAACAAACATATCCAGCAGCATATGCCAAAAATTACTGACCAAAACAATTTTTACTGACTTGGATGTTAAAAAATAGAATATTTTCTACTGTATACCTATATAATACTTTTTATTATATATGTATGCATTATTTTTACTAAATACCTATGCAACATTTTTTACCAGAAAAAAAAAAAAAAAAAAGAGAGAATGATAAAAATTATTGAAGCTGTGTTGATTAGTATAATAGAATTTTATTTGTTTACTTTTAACTAAATATTTCTAAAAAGTAAATATAAATATTGCTTCCACAAACAGATAAACTGTTTCATATAATTAGAAATTATGTTAATAAAACTTAAAATTAAGTAAAATGTGGATTTTACAAATACCTTAGACTGAAATGAAATATAGTACAGAACATGGTACAGAACTTGAGTGAAACAAAATACTAATTATTCTTGCAATCAAAAACATTTTACTTTAATTCAGTGCAATACATAATATTGCATAGAATTTAAATGAAACAAAATACTATTAATAATAAACTGAAAGGAATAGTAACAACTTAAAAAGGCAAATACAAAGAGTGTTTACACATTTTTAGAATGATTAATTAATGTTTAAAAATTAAATGATTATCTGATAGCCATTTCTTTCTGGACTATGAGTCTATGCCATGATTTCCGTGACAGAAGAGCTTTTTGTAACATTTCCAGGAATACTGATTTCCTTTCTTCATCTTTCATTTACTGTGAAATTCATTTACTGTTCATTTACTGTGAAACTTAGAAAGAGCTTACACTTAGAGTTACACTTAGAAAGAGCTCTTTTCAAGTGACCAAAGGCTCATCAAATCCATGGGTAAAACATCAAGGGATTTCGCAGGAATGACGTTGAAAAGGAATATATGCAGTACTGTATCAATCTTCATTTTTTCAAGGAAATGCAGTGGACTGTTGCATTGCCTCGATGAAGTTTCACTCTTTGAAAGTCATTGGGATATAGGAATAGAATTTCTTCTGTAAATGCCAGACATATTTTCTCTTGATAGTATATTGGGTTGATTTTAGCATCTTTTTTTTACTCTTCTTATTTTTAAATTTCCCTTGTAAACGAATTCTGTGACAATCTTCGGATTAATGGAACATTTTTTCCTCTTTTTGATTTTCGTTGCAGTCATTTATGTAAACCCATGCTTCATTAAGGGTCACAATGTTACTTACACTTATGTTCTACTAAATAATTTTCACACAGTGTTCTACAAATTGCTCTGCTTTGAGCCACATGCCTTGGCAAAAGCTGATGAAGAATATATTTTCTAGCAATTTTAAACTGCAAATTTTGGTTTATTATTTTATTTATTGTTGCTACAGATGTATTTGAAGCAATTTAGTTCTGCATCAGCACATTTTCTCATTACCAATGATTTAACTTTAGACACATTACATATATTTTTGCATACTAATTTGGGGTCTTATTTTTCCATGGAGATGTAATAATTTACAGTTTTTCCCTCCCTTTCCAATTATGTTGTTTATTTTGCATTTAGAATTTTAATACCATACATTTCAAAACATTTTTTTATTTTGAAATAGGAATATTTCTCTTCTATGCCTAGAGTTACCATACTAGAAAATCCAGAACACTTTCAAATAATAAACTACTGCCAGAAATTTTTATTCCAAAACATTTTCTCCTTCTTTTTTTTTTTTTTTAATTCTTTGTCAAATTTGTTCTAAAAATGTGTGAACATCCTCTGTATTTTGCACAACACGTTACCATTACTTTTGACACGATATTGTCATTTCAAACAAAAAATTCATTGATTAAAAACCAAAAACAACATAAAATATTAATATATTTTCTTAATTTTATGCTTAGAGTTACCATATAAGAGAAAATTATCCAGAATGTTTAAAAAAAATTATTTCACTATTAAAAAAGACGTATGATTTGTAAGTTATGTACCACTTCACAACAAGCAAAACTATGTATAGATGAAAAAGAAAAGAAAGTGATAAAGGAAACAGATCAACAAAATATTGAAATGCAGATTCTGTATTTTCTGCAGCAGATTCTCCATGAAGGTGTTAACTATCCCACTTAAATTACAATTATGATTGAAAATACCTCCACACAAGTAAAGACATTTGTGGGTTTCATAATCTTTTTTTTCTACATATTTATAAATTTTCTGCCTTAGATTTCATACCATTTATTAAAAAAAAAACTTTTTTCAATCCAAGGCATAATCATACATCTAGAGAACTGTCTGGGCCAATTGTAGATATCTAGTCTTATTTATATCATATGGTATTTGATACAATTTGACTGTTATTCCTAAAGCAAAGGTATGGACTTAATTCCTATAGTGGTATGTGTATGAAATATTGATCTATTCCTTAAAGTGCACCCTAGGTGACTGGTGCATTAAGCCAAAGAATATTTATTGTTAAGAAGGAAAAACTTGTCCACAGGAGTGGCTCCTTCCCAATGTAGAGGGAAACAGCTGTGCAGGCACGAAAAATCTGTCGCCAGAGCGCCAAAGTTCAAAGGTCACGTTTATCAAGAGTACATAAAATGAATATTGTTTTAAATGTTTTAAATTTCTTTAAACTTTAAACAAAAATTAAATATTTTTGGTGCAAATAAATTAATTAATGGATTAGTTACTTTGAGCATAAAAAAGTGTGAAAATCCAAGTCTAAATTATCACAAAAAGTCAAAGAAGAAACGTTTTGTCAAAAAACGTTTCTTCTTAACACATGTTCTTCAGTTCCTTCCTCACATCACGGAAGGGAAAATTCTCACTGCCAGGTTCCATCGCCAAATCCCTTGGCGAATTTTCCCTCCGCTTTCCAGGGGCGTAATAGCAAACTAGTTTACGTCTATGGAACCTTTCCTTTTTTACATAGATGTTCTTTGATTAGGCCATTTCCTGACAAATGCCTGCCAACAAGGAAACATTACGAAGACGGGAATTCTTTTTTGAAAAATTTATACAACATGCAAATGAGTCATCAGGATACAGCATATTTTGTTAAAAACACAAACATTTACAGCTTACAGAAGGGTTTTGAAGTATTTGTTTAGCTTATTTCAAATAATCCAAAAATCATACATTCTGAAAATTTTAAGCTTTTAATTATAACAGGAGGCAATAATTTACATAATAAAAGGTCAATAAATAAATAAAATTTCATTTAAATAGAAAGCAGCATACACAAAAATTTAAAGAATTTACAAATTCCTAAAATAATACTTTTTTGTTATTTTATTTTGTTATGTAATTAGGTTTGTACTACTAAACATAAGTATAGTAATTTTACAAAACACAGCATATTTTAATGCACTCATTATACACCTACAATAAGTGTATTTTTATAGACTTAGATTTTAAATGAAGAAATCTTAAAAATAACAGTACAAGGACCACAATTTTGTACATATATTAAAGTACCTGGTTTGAGATCATAGTGAATAATTGGAGGTTTAATTTCATTCAGGTACTTAAGAGCATGAACAACTTGCATTATAATACAGCGAGCTTCTCTTTCAGGAATATTTTTATGTTGCTTGAGGTAGAAATCTAAATCATGGCCATCACAGTATTCTAAAACTGTACAGAACCTAAAGTAAAGAAAATGACGTTCTTTAATAAATAAAAGCTATTCAGTGCTAAACTGAATACAAATTTCTTACTTAATAAACTAATTACAAAAGGCATTATGAAAAGCATACTTACGAATTTGCATCTATTTCAAAAACATCATACAGTCTTACAACACGGGGATGATCTAGTGACTTGTGAATATTATATTCTCGAAGTGCATGCCTGGAGGGAGGAAACACCAGAAGTTAAGCTAAAAAACTTGTTAGATATTAAGTAGCACAAACCAGTTCCTTATAAAACATAAAATTCAGTTCATCACTTGCTTCATAACATAAAATATGAATTTCAGATATGCAGTTACATTATATAGTATTCTCAGAATTCTATGCTATCTTACTACTAAATTTTTTTTTTTTACGCAATCTATCTTACTATTACAAAATAATGCATACACAGTGCATGTACAAAATTCTGGGACAATTTTTTAAACAACTTTTTACAAATCTGCAATATCTCAATTTACTTTTCTTAAAATACTGTCTGCTTATAAATAGAATGTGGTTTAGTGTTTGTTTTGATCTAATGAACATCAACTGTCATGGACTGAAAAAAAGGAGCAAAGAATAGCAATACTTATTTATTAATAAAACAGGAATTAATACTAATTTTTTCAAACAAACTGTGACTGCACATGAAGCTAGGTGCTTATGATTCACAGATAAAATGGTAATCATCTGGAGAAGGTTTATCAAGGGCATAGAAACTTCAGTTTCAAAACTCTTGAGTAGATAAAACTGGCAACCCCCCTTTTTTTAAAGGAAAAGGAATAATTCACAAGAAATTCGTTTCTGAGTGCCAGACAGTGATCCCCATATTTTAAAAAGATGTAACAAACAAATATCTGAAAATAATTCCGTGAAAAAGTTTAAAAGAGCTTAACCAAATAACTGGTATCTGCAAAATAATGAGTCTAGTTTAAAAAAGCTCAACCAAATAACTGGTATCTGCAAAATAATGTGCCATCACATAGTTCCACTCACATCAAGCAATTTCTAACAAAGAACAATGTCGTAATTTTCACCCCACTCAATTTACAGACCACCTTCTAATCTCTAAAACCAAAGTCTTGCCTCAAGGGTCATTATTTTAATAGTGCTGAAGACATTCAGAAAACTATAGATAGACTTAAACAAGTATCCCAAAAGATGAGTTCTGCAAAGGAATCACCAAAGGAATCACGCACATAAATGCAACTGGTGTTGCACAGATGTACAAGGATTGTACATTGAAGGCTAGTAAGCAAGAATGTAATTTTCTTCAAATTTTTATTTTGTACAAAATTAGTCCTGTAACTTTGCAGATGCAATATGTACACAATACTATGGATTAGAGATAATACAAAATATAATATTTCTAACACATGCTGAGTGATGTATACTTTTTAATCATTTAAAACTAGTTCTTATTTGTAAAGCAGTTTTGATATATTACTTTCTAAAGGACTTGTTTTCAGACAGAAATAGATTTGCTTATTTGAAAGAAATGCCCATTATGTTTAAAAATTTAGGAAATTGCATATTAACAGAAAAATATCTTTTGCTATCATTATTTAAAGAAAAAATGAAAGATGGAAGCCCTACTACAACAAAATTATTGGCATTAATCTGCCTGAGTTTAAAAGATATCGTACCCAGATTATAATGTTATAGTATCTAACATTCAAAATATCATTTAAAGATTTCCACCAATTTTATTCCATGCATCATAAAATATTTTCTCCCATAAATTTTAAAGCAACAAATTAATTACTTTTAATGATTTTGAGTGTAGAGGACTGTAATTTAGACAAAGATTTCAAACGAAATTTGAAGTACAAATGCATAACTATTCTTAAATATACAACGGAGTAAAAAACTAGAATTAAAAAAAAAAAAAAAAAAAAAGATTTTTCAACTACTAAATCAGGCTTGTAGGAAGATCTGGTTGATTCTTGAAAAACCAAGCAATTAACAAAAACTAAGACTATGTAATAAAAATGGAATAAAATTTACAAAAATATTCTTCACTAATATCACCTGAATGTCTTTTGAATGAATCAAATTTTTTTTAGTAACAAAGACTTAAAAAAATAACTTAAATAAGGAATTTTTAAAATTTACAAAACTCAAAAAATCAATTTATTATATAATTAATCAATTGTATGATTAAAACTTTATAGACGGTATTTAAATAAAAATAAACTGGATTGAAATATATTTTTAAGTGACATCACTAAAATATTTAATATTATAGGTTTATTAAGGAAAATGTATATAAGAGTATATTATTATTAATACTAAAAATACACCTGGATTATATTTAAACTACACCTGGATTTAATAAACACTCTTTCTACCAGATGAGAGAGGGAAATGACAAAAGTAAACAATATACATTCTTTAACACTGACTGATTTTCAAGAACATTTGCACATATAATATAATATCTTAATTAGTAAAAATTTCTACTATTACATGATTCTAATAAAAAAAAGATTTAAAAAATTACTGCACTAACAGCAATAATTAAAAAAAAAAAAAAAAAAAAAAAAAAAAAAAAAAAAAAAAAAAGATTATTTTAACAGATAGTGAAAATCACTAACTTGATATAGTTGGCTTTCTTGTCATCTTTCCAATCTTTATTTAACTGATGTACTTTACAAGCCACATACCTCTGTTCCTTAAGATCAAAAGCCTAGATTGAAAGAAAATTATAGATGAACAACAAAATATGAAGATTAAAAATATATATGGATCAAATAAAAAATTTAGACTGTAATTTTAGATTTATAAAGGAACTTTGTATGCAAGATATTTATGCAAGAAATGTATATGGTAGTCCAAATGTTTTATTTCTGATCTAAAATTTTAATTTTGAAAAAAAAAAAAAAAAAAAATAAGTGATAATATTTATATACACAAAGAATAAATACATTATTAGATGAAAAAAATGCATGATATCACCCCCCACAAAGTCATTTGATGCAATTTCATAATGTGTTCAAAATGTCCTTTTAACAATTAAATCATGAATGGCTTTGCCCCACATTCAAGGGCATTTTACACAAACATACTTATGCTTTTAATAGCCACAGTAATGTTAGTTTTGATATTATTTTTTGCAAAAGAATTGTTTTTATACACCATTTCTTTCAGGCATCCACAAAGAATGACATATGATATTATTAGATCTGGTGATCTTGCAAGTTCTAAACCTGTAAAAATTTCAACTTTTCACCAAAAAACTTCCTACTCTGTGGCATATTTGCTGCATCCTGCTGAAATCAAAAATATACATTTATTTCTAGCAGCATAAAGAGACTGACTATGATCTTGTACCTATTTTCTATACAGTAAAAAAATATTCTGCCATATTTTCATTGATCAGAAACAGCATGCTATACACTTAACGTTTTTAAGTATAGTAAATTTTCAAAATAATAATAATAAAAAAAAAAGGATGTGAAATGACCATAATTAAGTAATCTGAGTATTCACATATTACAAATGCCTGTTTTATGTAGAACCCATTATGAAGATTATTCTTCCAAGAAGTTGAAAACTATCTGCAGAAATATAAGTGCATTTGCAAATCATGTTTTCAGTCTGGCAACTGAAATAAAATGCAAATGTAAAACTTTAGAGAGTACTCTGCATACTACAGTTTGATAGTTCCATCCACACAGAAAATTACTACAAACATTCAGTTGGTGAATGTATCCTTTCACATGGCATTTCTACATTTTTTACCATTGCTTACTTTGCTTGCAGTTGAAAAATTTTCCTTTCCTGTTGCCCAAAAGTGGTTTACAAGCCCACTACAGTTCTTATGTTATGAGACCAGACCAACAACAGTTCTCTTGTTTGGTGATACAATATTTAGATTTGTTCTCAAAAGTTTTCTAACACTTTTGTGAGAATCATTGATCAAAACAATGCTCAATAGTCAACAAAAACTGGCTATGGATAAAGGCCTCTTATTCTCACTGCAACGACCATAGTTCATGACAATGATTATGGGATCAGCTGAAATAAGAAAACCTTATGGGTATTATGTCTTTTGCGGGTTCTTACAATGCGAATCATAAGATTTTTAGATTACAGTACTACTAGATATTATAAATTCATTTATTTATTCTAAATTGTTAATATCATATTTGAGTTAGGAAATATTGAATGAAGTAAAAATATAATCAAAAACAGCACAACCAAATAATTTTTGTTAATTAAGTTATATACAATTGTCTCAATTTTTTTTTCATTTTTTGTAATTACAGCCTATTGATTTAAATTTATTAAGTTGTAAATATAAATAATTTTATTATTACATATGAAAGTAGAGAGGGGAATATATCAAATATTTACATTTATATTATAAAATAAAATTTTAAAAAGTAACAAATGAATATGCAATACGCATCTTGCAAAAATATGCATTTTTATTACCTTATGCACTTCACTAAAGCCACCTTTTCCTAATAAAGTGAGCAAAAGGTACCTGTCATGTAGCACAGGATGGTTATTGAACCTGAAACATTAATGATGTTTAAATTAAAGACATGATACAACTAACATTTTAATTAATTTTGACAACAAATCTATGCCAATTTTTGAAGTAACAATAACTTTCGCATTATGCCTGATTGGTACACCTTCTTCAGCAAAAGAATACCATTTAAAATTATAACAAAAAAATTTTTCCTTGTTAATTAATAATGCAGAAATGTAGTTTTAGTGAGATAAATACAATTTCTCACAAAATCACATGCCTCACATATTGTTCAAACTGGAATGCATAAGTACAAAATGTGCATTCCATCAATATTAAATTTAAATGAACTAAAACACTATATTAATATTAAAAGTTTCCTCCTAAAAAGTACTATCACAAAATAATTTGAATCTTATATGCTGTTTGGATATCATGACTGGTTATACAGTCAAAAGTCGTTAATCCGGACTCGTCGGGACTTCGGCGATTCCGGATTATAGATCATCAGTTTAAATCTCGTAAGATGGCATGCAGAAATTCTAAAATTAAAAATATGAAACCGTAATTTATGAAATAAAGAACAATTATGATCTAAAGGGTATCAAAATTTACAAAAAAAAAAAAAAAAAAAAAAGCTTAATATTTATTTGTTTACTTTATTAAACATTTCTTTCAATGTAAGTTGTTTAAGTTGCTTCGTTTTATGTGATAATACTTTCTCTTTAATTCTATAAACAGACATAATTTCTTGTTCAGTTACAAAGTTCCGCTGTTCAAGTCCCGTTAATTGCTGTGCCGAGAATACCGACTAACTTGTCAATCGAAATTTTTTCGTTTTCACTAACCTCTCTGTCACATTCTTCATGTCTTTATCCATTTTTTTGCAGCAATTCCACTTTTTGTTTGTTGGACATCGAAACATACTTTCGTTTTGTAGATCCTTTGGAAGTTCCAGCATCGGAAATTCTATTTGACATAATCGAAAGTTCAAGTTTACTTTTATAAAATTGCTCTTACAGTCTGCAAAAAATAATAAGCGGGATCCAATTCGAAGATTAAGGAACAACGCAATCATTAACATTAACTGAAATAGATAATTAGATAATTTTAGCTTACACCGTCCGTTATACATTAAACGCGCAGGCGAAAACGTATTCTGCACTTGCGCACACGCATATGCGCAGTAGTCAAGGTCTTACGCGCACGCGTAAAACGCCTGTGCGCATGTGCCAACGCGGCGCATGCGCAGAAAGTTTTTTAGCTTTGAGGTCCGGATTATAGATCATTCCGGATTATGGGTGTCCGGATTAACGACTTTTGACTGTATTACTCATTTCAGCCTGTTTTAAGAGCTAGTATAAGATTTTCCTAAAATAACACAGTAAAGTTTGAGCAAACAATGAAATTTTACTTGCATAATATTTTTAAAAGTTAAACTAGTAATCTTAAACACTATGTAATCATGCTTCAGGGTTCGTACACATTTCTGCACATAGAAATTAAGTACTTTTAAGGGCCATTAATGAAAAATTTAAGGGCCTATGAGTAAATACGACATGATAAATTCAATTAAAAATATAATCTATGCCTGAATTTCTTTTCGTAATACCATCCTAAAAGTAAAACAGATTCCTAAGTAGTATGCATTATTACTAACCATGAATTAATTAACATAATTGTTAATAAGTTTGAGAATAAAATAAACTTTATGCAATTTATCAAGTAGCATTAAATATTTTACACTTATAATAGCTGGACATATTTGAAAGAAGATAAGTGACATTTAAGTTTCCCTAACAGTTAGCTTTATGTTGATTTTTTTAATGTCTCATTTTGTCACATACTTGGTCAGTCTAGAGGTTTAGTAAATAGCAGGTAGATTTTATGTCAAACAGCATAGGTTAAAAAATGAGAAGTAAGATCATACATAATCTGCATGATTCATAACAAAAGACTGAATGCTTTCACCACTACTGCTTGTCTAGAGAGACCTGCTGATTAGAACAAACCTGAAAGGCCTGATGTAGGCACGGTTGGCAAGTGTTGAAAGTTAGTCAGGCTCTGTTTGATGCAGTTGTGTACACTAACTGCATCAAACAGCTTCATGTAGAGTTCCAGGAGTTGTAACCCAGTTAATATACTTTAAGGTTCTAATAAGTCATTAAAGCACCAGAGGTGATAAGTTGCTTTGTATTATTTTAAGTTAGACACTAGATGCTCTTTGAATCTTATTCTTTATAAGTCTGCAACTTCTTATAAGTTTACAACTTATTCTTTATAAGTTTTACTTGAATTTTTACATTTTTGTGTTTTATCTTGTGATCACAATGAGTATTATTGAAAGGCAATAACTCACTTTAATATGTAGAGATAATTTTAAGGCTAAGCAGTTAGTTACAAATAACTAAATTATGTAGTTAGATAACCTTAGTCATTATGGATTTACATGGCCACTATTAAATTTTATTCTTAACAATATTTGTTAAAAAGCCCTATTAAAAAAATCAAAATCTAATAAAATTTCACAGTTTAAAATACATGTAATTTATGACATTGATTCTTAAATATTAGGATAATTACAGATTAAAAGCTATAAAACATTTACGTTTTGTAGCTTTTAATGCTGTTACGAAACATTTATGTTTGGTAACAACACTCAACAAAATATTTATACGTCTTTTTAATTTATAGCCTTCGCAAACATTTTGGCTAGTTTATATCGATTTCCTTCTCTTTAAGCATCTTTCTTAACAATTAGAGATTTGTCTCAATATGCAAACTAATGCTCTCTCTAGTTTCTGCATGATTTAACATCTGACTTATCAACCTCTCCACAATGCACCTATGAGGGTTTACTTCATCTGGTAAAAGTTAAGTAGTCCAAAACGTCCGACATACAAATGAAACAAATATCGCAACTACAATATCAGACGAAGGTTTAAATAAGCCTCTTACTTAAAAACTTAGAACATAAAGGCATGTTCTGATGCTAGCAAAATCAATTACAGCTCATGGTGATGTAATTAAACATGAATGGTCAAATTCAAACTAAAAATGTGCACTAGTGGTCAAAGATTATACAACTTAATTTAAATTTAATCTGGCTTAGTAACTCTATCATGTGAAGAAACAGAAATGGGAAATTATAGTAAAGGCTAAAATCCTAAACAATTGGTTAATTTACATAATAATAAATGCACATTTCTTTGAAGAATAATTTTCTTTATAAATTTAGTTTCTTTCTTCAACACATTTCCTCTTCCTTTTAGAATTTTTGCAATTAATTAAGGTATTCCTGTTATTCTAAAAAACACTAAATGCATTTAGAATGTATAGAAAAAGTGGCTAATTTTATTTCTTTAGTAATATGAACATTAAAAAGAAATATGAAATATATATGTTAAAGGCCGGGAGCTGGTGTGGCAAATTTTTTAGAATTTAGTGTCACACTGAACAACAAAATCTAGAAATTGCAAAACTTTTAGAATTTAGAGCAGGTATTGGAAGCAGAATTTAGAAAAGCACTAGGCAGCAGGCTTTAGGATCCACAGAGAATGCATCAGGTAGGAAAATGTCTAGTGCCAGCTGTGTGTATGATGCATTTAGACATATTAGGTGAATCTTTTAAATTAAAAATTTTCAATTTCTTTATTAATAAAAAAAAAATCCCTTTCTATAATGCCTGCCCATGTGGTAAGATTAGAAGCATCTTTGATAATTTCCATGCTTGTGTCTAGTGAAAAATAGAGAAAATAAAGGGAAGATAAACATGTTAAGAAAAAGATTCTAGTATCAGAAGTAAAACATTCAAATATTATGTTTTCAATGTTCTTTCAGACATTCTCCAAAAAGTAAGAAATTCATCTCAATCTTTCTGTAAAATACATCCATTACATGCTGATACCATGGAAATATTTTTCATTCTGTCATATATTTCTCGAATCTTCTATAATTGTGGGTCTATAAATCCTGGCTTCAAATCCTTCTAAACTTTCCAAGCTACAATATCTAAAATCCCAAAGAAAAATTATCCCTACCAATTTGTAACAGCAAAAAGGCAAACACACACACACACACACACACACACACACACAAAAAAAAAAAAAAAAAAAAAAAAAAATGGAGGGGAAAAAATGTAAAATTAATTTTATAGAGAAAACTGATGTATATTCTGAGAATTTCGAATATTCTGAGATAATTACATGGGAAAAAATCATACTATGAAAAAAATAAAAAGAAGACATTTTTAACTATATACATAGCTAATGTTGCTTTTGCTAACACCTATTTCGTCAATTGTGCTTTATAGCATTATACCTTGTTCATTTTTCAGATTCAAAATATTGTATAATAAGTTGCCAAAATGAAACTTTATAATATGACAGGGAAAAATAAAAATGTTTTATGTGCATAAATTACGGTTTCATATATTTAATTGTATATTTCTGCATGAAATCTTACCAGATTTAAATTGATGATCTATGATCCGGAAAAACCCCTAATCCGGAATCGTCGAAGTCCCGACGAGTCCGGATTACGGACTTTGTACTGTATTACCATTATTTTAATGAAATTTATCAATGTTACAATGTTATAGTAGAAAAATTCCCAGATCTTGGAATTAGAAATTTACTACAGAAACTGATCTTAAAAACCACTCAAATGTTGATAAGTCGCCAAATTTAGAATCCTTTAGTAAAAGAATTCAGATCCCCAAAAGCGAAAAGTTGATTAAGAGCTCTTTATTAGAAAAAATTAATTTTGAAATGCTTATGTTTCACTTCTTGCTTAGAAACTCGAATATCCCATCATTTATATTAGAAACAAATTATTACCCATTCAAAAGATAACCATATATGCCATTGAATTGCGAAAAAATATTCCTCCAAAATGCTAATTCCCACTACATATGCCAGTCGTAATAATAGACAGAAATTTCAGATGATTAAAATTAAGGACCTTCTGCTGATTTTGGCCAAAAATCAATTCCAAAAAAACTAAGGACTTTTAAGGACTGTACGAACCTTGTACTTACATTCCTTTATAATAAATTTTCTAAATGAGAAAGCATAGGCATTAAAAATGTACTCTAATATTTCATGATCTTTAGATGATTTGAAAATACTTTCAAAACCAAAAATAAGGTAATATTTAATCTAAAGATAAGAACATTTGATTAAGGTCATTATTATCTATTTTCAGAACCAGTCCTGTTAACCCTCTTGCTGCATATCCCACGATTTCCATGAGCAACGTGGAAGTAGCAAAATTTGAGCAACTGCCGATTTCTGTGTGGATGCATTTTTTCCATCTATTTAAATGCGCAACCCGCTCTTTTTCTGTTTATGGTTTCATTTCAACTTTTCTGTAATGTTTAAATGTTTATTCAGATCTGGGTTAACAGATGATGTTAGTTGTCCATATTTTTTGCGAAATATACAAGCATGTTTTGCACCATTTTGTGAGCTCTTTCAAAGCTCAAAGATGTTTATAGTTCAACTCTCAATCCCATGACACTAACTACTCAACATTTGCTAGCTATATACTTCCCAGTGCCATCAAGAAAAAGCTTCGTAAACAGTGTGCTGTTGGTTGCTAAAACAAAAAAATGAGCTGGCAGAGAAATGCAAATTTGGTGCAAAGATTGCAAGATAGGACATTTGCCTCAAGCCTTGTTTGAAACTTTACCATACTAAACTTCATTTCTAATAAATGTTTTGTAAGTATTTTGCATATTTTCATTAGTACATACATTTTACTTTTATATTTCATAAAATAAATCATAATTTAACCAAGATTAATTTTCAGAATTTTGCTTTTATATGATTATTCTTCAATTTCAATTTTCCAACAACTTTTAATTATGATCTAATTAATTAGATCTATATTGGGAAAAAAACCATCTTTTTTTACAATTTTTTTTTATATATTTTAACTCTCTCTCTATATATATATCTTTAAACTCTAATATATATATTTAATGCTACATACATTTTAACTCTAAAATATATGTAGATTTGAAATATGTAATAAAAAACTATGCACATTTTGAACCTATTTTGATTTAAAAAAAAAAAAAAAAAGAGAAATTACACAGTGAGAGGGTTAAAATATACATCCATAAGTAGCAATCAATTAGTAATCGTGTTAGTGGAATTAGTTTCAATACTGTTGGCTTTGAATTCATATTCCAGATGACAATCTTCTTTATACAGGAATGGCAAGATTAAATTAAATTATGTCTGTTTCGGTTATTATGTTTACCTTAACCATCTTTTTTGTATGTGTGTTATCATGTTCACAAAGTACTGTTACAAAAGTTTAAATAAAGAATATTATGTGATCCAGGAACAGATTAATCAATTTTACATTAATTCATTTGGGAAAGACTGTTTCACTTTACGAATGGCCTTCAGAAATGAATTAGATTTGTAATGTGAGATTACAGTCATATGCTTTTAATACAGAAGAATGTAAAGAAACAGGGAGACTTTTACTAAATCCTACTTTAAAAATATGTTACCTGGATTGATCTTCATTGTGTATCCGCTTTAGTTCTCGAATATGAAGATTTCGTTCCCTTTCTAATTTTTCTAATTCTAATTGTAAATCGGTGTCTTCTTTTTTCAAGGAGACTTGTCTTAATTTAAAAATTTCTTCTTGTTCATAGTACTCAGACCAGCTGAGACTGCTAAAAATAGATAAAGAAAAGAAATTAGAACCTATATAAACTTCTACAAACACAAACTATTTTCAAAAAATCTTAATAAATACATCAGACATAAGCCTAATTTTAGTTTATATGATGCAGTTTTTCTAAAAATTTTCTAATGCATTTTTTTGAAAGAAAAAGGCATTTCTCTTCTTAAGTACCTGTCATTTGACAGGGTATGTTTCTTCTGAATAAGAAGGACTGCCATGTTCTGAAGCAGGTTCAAAATAATAGTTTTTGATTAGCTTTTTAAAGTGGGCTAAAGAGACTAATTTTTTATGTACTGGAGCCATTTAGTCAACTATTCAGTCAGCAGGAAACAGAAAATCAATTTGAAAGGGTCTAACATTTCTTGCTCCACATTAATTGCAAATTTTAAATCTCCATAGTAAACTAAATTTCTTTGAGACTCATTTGATATAGCAAATGTGTGGAACATATATGATCTAGCCACCCAAGAAAAAGGACTTTTTTTGGCGCGCGGGGGGTGGGGCTCAAACTGAGACAGTTTTGAGAAAATACACACAAGAAACATGAAAACTTACTAGGATAAGTACCCATGACTGAAAAATTTTTAAAAAGAAACTGTTACCCCCCCCCCAAAAAAAAGAGTTAAAGGAAACTTTTAATAACTCAAGTGAACATACCTTATTAAGAAATTATTGATATTTATCATTAGTGAACTCTAACTTTTATTAGTGAACTTTTTCTTTCTAGAACTTTCTTTAAAATTCTTAAAAGTAAAGTTCATATTTCACGTTGCCATTACAATCACAAACTTTTCTTCAAAAACAGATTATCCTTTCTTTAATTCAAAAGTAAACACACGGTTTCTTTTTTGGAATTTTAGAAATTAAATAAATTTAATGTACAATACAAAATAATCATAAATGATGGCTCTCAATTTGAACTCAGATACAAAACAATGACTTAACCACTGTAAGCTCCAGTTTACCAACACAACTGAAACAAACTATCTAAAAAATGAAATAAAAATATATGAATCTCATAGCTTACATGCTATTATTAAATGTTCTGAGAAAAAATGCCTGGATGAAAGACTAAAACGCCTAAATTCATTAGACTATATGCTATTATTTTGTAAGAAAACATCTAAACAACATTATGAGTATTTAGCTCTAGATGGAAGATATTCAAATTGACAACAAAGACAGTGTAACAAAGAGGATTGTTTAATTCCTATTTTGAATGAGGTTTACTATTTACACTTACTGCATATATGGCACTTTTAAAATTTTACCAAATAACTGGGATAAAATAAAAACTGCAGGGACCACATCATCAAACCAAGACAGTCTCCCGATCATAGCACAACGTCTGGTAAGGCTATTGTGAAATGTCTTCATGCTTTTCCAGGGTTCGTAGCCACATTTTAGTTAAAAAAATAAGCACCTATAAGCACTTTTCAAGCACATTTTAAGGAAAAAATAAGCACCTGTCTAATTACATTATACACAACTGCATAGCCTTAAAAGAAAAATTAGACTTGTAATTTAAAATATGAGCAATGCAATATTTATTAAGAGAATGAGCACCTCAACTATGGAAAACAATTAACTTTTTTTTTTTTAATTTTAAATGACAGTTCAATTTACAGAATTAGTTTACAATGAGACAAAAAAGAAAAAAAAAAAAAAAAAAAAAATGCAGAACTAAACTATATTACAAGATTTAATGATGAAATTTCAGTTCAAAATATAGAAAATAAATAATAATAAGCCATATTAATTGTATTCGTTTGCCACCTAATAATAAATACAATTTATTTTTCCATCAAATATAATCATAACGATCAAATATAAAGGCTTATAAACACTTGTAAGGACCGCTACGAACCCTGTTTTGTATTCAAAACTAGTGATAAGCATGTTGAAAAACTCACAGATATTAAACATTAGACTTAAATAATGGAAGCCTATTATAAAGAAAATATAATTAAACATAAGTATTCCAAGCAACAAAACTATCTATTTTAAACATTAAGACATTTTTTTTAATTAGTGGTTATTAAAAAACATTCCAAGTTTAAGCTTTTGCAGTTAATATATATGAAAATACTTACAATAATAATTTCTACTCAAAAAGCAGGGCAAAATATCATAAAGACTTTTAAAAAGTAAACGTGAAAATAAAAGCAAATGAATTTCAAATACAGTAAGACCCCGCTTAACATATCCGAAACAGTGTAGTTGTGTTTCTTGCTTGGTGGACGAATTTTTATCATTTGAAACATTTGTTGACATTATTGTAAGTTTAAATTTGTACAATACTATAACGATTAATACAGTGACAAATATTATGATCTTTAGTTTTTATCATGGGTGATAATAAAAAACAAGAAAAGAAAGCAACCGAACCAAAAAGCATTTCACTGGAAACTCAAATGCAAGTGATTAGAAGATTAGATTCTGGTGAACGTTAGTCTCAAATTAGGGCTGCATTGAATTTGGCAACTTCAAGAATAAGGACAATTCTTAAGAATAAAAAAAAAATACTGTAATCGGCAACTGCAACTACGTCAAGCTCTGCAACTAGAATTACCCGTTCTAGAAATAACATTATAGAGGAAATGGAAAAACGACTGTCTATATGGATTGACGACGAAATTGAACGCAATATGCCATTAAGCCAATCTTATCATAATGCCTTCTTGAGAAAAAGGCAGAAAATTGGAAACCCAGAATAGACTGAATGATCTGACTGAGAATTTTATTTGTTTTTAAAAGTATATGCGTTTATATTGTTTTTATTTTTGTAAGAAATAAATGTTTGATTTTATTTTTATTAAAAAAACATTATTAAATTTAATGCCTAACCATTTTTCATCTGTCTTCCCCTAACCCCATTATTTACATGTTAAGATAGCCTCGCTTAGCGCTGTTTCGCATTACGCTCTACTTCGATGGAACGTATCCCCCGCGTTAAGTGGGGTCTTACTGTAGTTAATAATTAAACTAATTACAAAACAAAAAAATTATTACTCTTTGGGTGGGTCAGGTCGCACAAAATCACCATTTGCTAAGGATGAGTTCACATTTGCTCGACCTTTGGGCTGATTTGCATTTGGTTTCTTCTTGCCTAATAACTTACGCTGTTTTTCTATTTCTTCCCTTTCTAAAGCTATTTGTTCCTGTTTCCTAAAACAAAAATCCTACTAATCAGAATACATACACACATACATATAATTATGTTCATTAAATAGCTTATAGCTGCATATATATGTAGATATTATCTGTATACACTATACACAGCATATCTGTACTGATATGCATAAATATACTGACACATATTCTGATATACATACAATAATATTATAGTCACTTCATGCACATTCCAATCAAGAAATAAGTTTTTCAATTTTTTTACACATTTTTAAGCAAGGAATTATTATAAAAGGTCACAAATTATAATGCAAAATTTAATAATAGCAATAATAATACACATAAAACCATGATGCATAATGAGGGAAAAAATCTAATCATACAAAATATATACGCTACATCATGTAAAATGTAATTAGCACATTAACATGGAAGAATAATCTAAACAATTTTATCACAAAATAGTGCACAGAAGCAAATATGTAAATAATTTCACAAATGAATAAACGCTATGATTAAAGCAACAAAATTAAAATCAAATAAACACAAAATTAACTGGAAATTTCTAAACTCAGTTTAGCAATATTGCAAAGGGCCTTTATAGTGGTACATCTTCATTTGCTTTGATAATCAATGCAACAAACTAAGTACACCTAAACTAAACCTTATATAATTAGGAAATTAAACTAAACTTATATAATAGGATTTTATACTACAGTTTTCACAACAGTGCCCAAACATAAAGGTGCCTGTCCATTTTTAAAAGCTACAAATGGATTTTGGTAAGAATATAAGCACCTTTAAAGGATGGTTTGTCTTTCTGAAAAATATCTGACTTGCACAAAGATGCTAGCAGGACACCATTATGAACAGAATCTATACGGAATCAGAAATTTCAGCATATAAGATCTGTAAAATGACTTTTATAAGAGCATTTTTATTTACACTTACAGTCTGTCTATCATAAGAAAAGCTCTCTCCAGTTAGTCTGCAGCTGTCTGTTGCCATAGAAACAAGCCTTGACCCATTTTCCACAGGGATGTCTCGAAGATTTACTTTTCAGTTTGCCATCTTGGCGCATTTAAAGATGAATTGACAACTCTTGGTTCACCCCTATTTGAAATATACTAGCCCTGTTGCTATAGCAACTGCCACATGCCAGACATTGTGGCGGGAGCTCTTCTCACATACAGACAGTAAATTAAAAATCACTCGAATTCCTGTGAAGCAGTTCGCTTAAAAGCTACTATTACCTGAGATGTTGCTCCCAAACATCATAACAGTTCTGGAACTTTGAAATTGAAGTGGCCATAAGCCGAAGTCTCGGCCCCTTTTATTTTTTGTGGTTCAAAAATAGTGTCCTTTCAAATGGGTTTTTAGTCTGGGAACCATGGACAGAAGTCAAGCAAATGGTGGGGCTGAAGTACAAAAGGGATTCATTTCTCAGCTGAAAACTGTTATCAAAAAGTCCCATGCGACTGTTGTAATGAAGCATCCAAGTCTCTATGATGTTGGGCTTAGCACATATTAATTTAGTTTTGATGTAATTAATATTACAGTTAGTCAATAGTCTGACTGGATAACTTCTCAAACTTTGCCTGCAATATCAATTCTTTTGGTGGAAGATATTCTGTAGTAAGGGTCATCCTAAATTGATCCTTGGTCATTCGAAAAGCTTTAAACCACCTGAAAACTTATACTCTGGTTTCATACACCTGTTGAAATTTTAAAAAAGTTATGGTGACATTGCACATCAATCTGAAACAAAACCTGATAGAGTATTATTGTTCAAAACTCAGATCGCTCATTTCTGTGAAGTACAGTAAAACTCTTTTTGCAAAAAATGCAATAACATAATACATGTGAACATTGCAAAGTTTCCACTGTTGACCTTGGTGCCCAATAAACGGTCCCTACCGCAAAGAATGTGAAAGTCTCGTCTCATTTTTAAATGACTGCAACATCTTTATTGCTAAATGGTTTAACTAAAACTAAAATAGCTATATATTCAGAAGGCAAACAACAAAAATCAGCGTTATATTTACAAAATTTTCACAGGACTAGTTTCGATGGTTTTACCGATCCACCATCTTCAGCTGCAAAACCGCAAATGAACAAGATAGGAAATAATGATTAGATAAGATAAGAAAGCCTGGACAAGAATAAGCAAGTGGCGCCATCTGTTGGCGAAACCAGAACTAAAACATAATTTCTCTAAAAGCCGAAGGCAAATTTGGATTGGAATTAGGATCGTTAACTAGAACAGAAAGATTTTTATGAATGTGAAATGCCTCTAGAAAATCCAGTTCTCCAATCGAAGATGTTTTTTGAATAATTTTAGCAGCAGAAAAATTGAAAGTGTGATTTTCGGACCAACAATGTTGAGCAACAGAAGACTTCTGTGTTTTCCTTTTTTCTAACATATGCCTTCATGTTCTTTGACACGAAATTTTAAGGCTCTCTTAGTTTGGCCAATGTAAATTAAACCGCACTGGCAAGGAATCCTATAAATACCCCAGGAATTCATATCCGGAATGGGGTCCTTGAGTACAGAAGTTGGAATTTTATTGATGGGAGAGTAAACAACCCGAAAGTTAAATTTCTGCAAAATATGTGCAACTTTATAGCTAATTGATGGAAAGAAGGGAATGACAACAGAATTTTTTATAATCTCCTAAAATAAGAGTGTGGCTTTTGGTGTGTTGAGATGAGAATTTTTTAACTGCTTGATTAATAATGTTGGGTGAAAAGCCCCTGTCAATAGCTATTGCTTTTTAAATAATTTAGTTCTTCATCAAGGGCTAGTTTGGAGGAGCAAACTTGAAGAGCACGGAAAACATAGGAATAAAATGAAGCTAACTTTTGTTTAGTTGGATGACAAGATTTAAAGTGTGGTGGAAGGCAAACCGATGAAGGTTTACGGTAAACTGTAGTACTGAAGTTGGATGTGTTACGTGTGACCAGAATGTCGAGAAACGGAAGAGAATTGCAAGTCTCAAGTTCAAAAGTGAACTGAATAGCAGGATCAATAGAATTCATTGTTGAAAGAACTTTATTTAAATCATCTTTATTACCTTCAAACAGGGTAAAAGTATCGTCTACGTAGCGGAACCATGCCGGGAAGTTTAAAGTTTCAAACAATTTTGATTCATAATAATGCATGTAGATATCAGCCAGGATGGGACTGAGGGGGCTTCCCATGGCTAATCCCTCAGTTTGCTTATAATATTTATTTTGGAAAACAAAATTTGCAGAAAGATTTTGCAGAATGATTATTCGTTCGGCGTGTTATTGTGTCTTAGCTATATATATTTACTAAACAACTTGCATAACTTTTAAACTTCACATCAGAAGGTATACTCTTCACACTCAGTTTGAATAATGCAACTAAATCATCGATGCAATTGCAGAATTTAGAATGACAGAGAAGCCTCTTATTTTGTTAATACCTTTGATTATTTCCAAGGCTAATGAACTGGTTGATATAATGCTAAGAATAGCTTCTTTTTTTTTTTTTTTTAATGAGTCATTCCTGTAGACACAGGCCAAGGAGAGGGCATCCTGAAGAGCAGTAAATAATTAAAATGGAAGAACGGAAACAAAAATTTTCAATGTATTCAAAAACGTTCTCCACCCATTTCTGTAGTTCACAATAACATACTCTGTTTAAGGAAATGTGTCAAAAACGCTAGACTTACTGCTAAATTTAAAAGCTGTAACACACATAACCTCAAGAAATGTATGCTAACAAACTTATCTGAACAAAAGCAGTTAACACAAGGAAGTTATAATTATTTAAAACTGAATGTGACTTAACAAATACCCTGAGAGTGAATCTCATAGATTTCATCATTAAATTTGAGAACATGGAAATTTAACAAACTAATTTTCCTGAATACAAATCATGCTACAACATAGAGTAAAAAAATTCAAATGTGATTAAAAAAAGTTTGTGTAATATGTTTGACTATGGTGACTGTTCTCTGCTTTTGGAACAACTAATGGAGTCAAACACTTTAATTTTATTTAATGTATATATTTTGACAACACTTGAGGATAATGTATTGCAAAGCACTTGTAAAATATAGAATATTTAAAAATGATTACTTTATAAAATTTGTTAGAGTATGAGAAATAGTTTATAACTACAAAAAAGCATCTTTTTTAATACAGTAAAATTAATCTGCCAATCAAAATATTTATATCATTATTTCAATGAATATTTTATTATTTACAATATAAAAATTACATAAAAATAACTATAATTTTAGATAATAAATTCACAAAAAAAATTAATTTTAATTAAATTTGTAATTTACTATTTTTTTTTTTTTTTTTTTTACTTTATTAGTTCTGTGAAAGCAAATCCATCAACCCAATTTTCAGCAAATGAAGCTCCTTGCCTCTGTGTGATAAACTGGCCTAACCTAAGCCTGTTCTGCATACATTTTTGACGGGATGCCTTCTTTTCCATCAGTGACTGAAAGAAATATAAATATTTTAACCAACAGTTGAAAATATTATTATACAAAACAGTTCAGATGTTTAACATCTTTTTAGAAAAGCATACTGTAGAAGAAATAGTTTATAAAGAAAATACTGCATTTACATACATGAAAAGAAATTTTCCAAGATTTTGCAGAATGATACAAGTTTTCTCACTTTGAAAATAGCCTTGTATTCAAAACAAAAAATAGATTTGACATTTCAAATTTCAATAGTTTTTGGAGAAGGACTATGGGTATAAATTTAATCAGTTATAATATTCTGTTACATAAATATTACCAGGATTTAAATTTGAGCGATGAATCTCCCTCCCTCCAAAGTTGCCACTCAAACAGGAGAATGAAATTCCCTGACTTTTCCAGGTGTATTCTAAGAAAATTCCAGTCTACCCATGTAGTGCACATTGGCTGTGCTGAGAGGTAAATTAATTACGGTACTACTCGAAAACATAAAAATTTGCCAATTACATATGACTTATATATAAAGACAAAGTAAGAAATTTAGAACTAATTTTTCACAAAGACCAAAATTTGTAATTCCTATTTAATAAATTTCAAATAATCCTACAAATGCAAAAAAGAATTTTAAAAATATTAAAACCAAAACTTTTCAAACAAGCAATACCCCAATTAAAAAAATAGAAGAATTTTAAAGAGTGAACATAATAGAAGAGGAATTCAATCAACTTCAACGCCACTTTGTCAGGAGGAGGAACATTGAAATCAACAGAAATCTCTCGTCCACAAAAAAATCCTTGCTTTTCTGTATCCAGAATTAACTGATGAACCATTTTTATGTATTTTAATTATGATAGTTCACCCGAAAATTCTAGCCCCCCCCAAAGCAAAGGAAAAAACAAAGTAAACTCTAATTAGAATCTTGTACTTAAAGAGAATTCTAGTTAAAGAATGAAAATGTAAGTGAATTAATAAAATACTTCAGTGAAAATTTGAATCAAAATATTACCTTTACACAAAGAGCATATCCAAAGAATTTAAAGCATAAGTTAAATGATAAAACTTTAGTGAACATTTAATGATGTGATAAAAATAACTTTATGATAAAACTTTAGTGAAAATGCTGATTTGAATTTTTTGCTGAAGTATTTTATTATTTCACTTTTTCTTTAAATTTCTTTAACATTTTGAATTGGAATATTGCTTATTTGAAAAGTTTTGGTTTTAACATTTTTTTAATTCTTTTTTGCATTTATAAGGTTATTTGAAATTTATAAATTTCAATTTTTGATCTTTGTGAAAAATTAGCTCTAAATTTTTTACTTTATGTCTTTATAGATAATTTTTCAGCAGCTTAAGGCATGTTTTGTTTCTAAATAATTGTAATTATATATATATAATCCACAAAGCATTACTACTATAAGTATAAATGGAGTTGTTTTCTCCAAAGGAGACTCATTAGAATCTGCCCAATCTGGATTAAAAACTGTCTTTTTTTGCAGACATTTTGCAGCTAAATGAAAGAAATCTATTTAGTGAAATTTTAAAATAAATCCAGGTTATTTATATTTATTTAGCAGCATAGAAAAGCAAAAAGTATGTGCATTAATTTTTTGATAGTATGTCATCATACTGCTAAAATTAGTTTCAGGATTATGCCAGAGAAAATTGCCTGAAATTTGAAATTTTTATTGGCTAATAACAACTAAATTTAGAAAGAAGAAGCAACATTAAATGATACGAATAACATTTAATAAAGTTAATTATTTAAAAACAATTACAATAATCAATGAAATTTTGGCAAATATAGTTACATAAATGGTTAGCCTAGATGATTGATTATTTATTATTATTATTATTTTTTTATTTTACCATAAAATGACAAACAAGGCATTTATTAAAAAAGGAAAAAAAAAAAAAAAAGGTTAAAAGATTTTGCAGTAAAATCCTAGTATACGCAACAACCTTGGCACGATCTTGAAAATTGTTGCCAACCATCATAATGTCACCAAATCCCGTGTGTACCCTACATGGATGTTAGAATAGAGTAGTACAAGGAGGCTATTTTAACCTCCATAGTACCCAATACCAGGAGTAAACCGATTTTGTTTTATGCGAGAATGGGAAGATATTTTCTTTAGTTCAACATGCACTGCACATACGAGTCTCTAGATTCTTAAGGTTACTCGAAACTAAAGTTGCTGGAAACTTGCTTTTCCTTTTCAAAAGACAATCTGATTCGAGCTGCGAAAACTGGCTCTATGCCAGCTGCCCGAATGACGCTCACGCGATATGCAATTCCACAAGAAAGTGATCGCTTCAAACGTTGCCGCAAAGTGCATTTGGAGGCGGGGATCGGTGTATGAAATTCCCTGACCTTTCCAGATTTTGACTAAAATTCCCTGACTATTTTGGTCAATTTTCGAATTCCCTGACTTTTCCGGTTTTACATGTAGCGTAGGAACTCTGTTTCTCTTTCTAAGAGTAATGTTTAATAATCGTACTTTTGACACCCACTACATACATATCAAAAACATTTCAAAGGATACAAAAAACTTGATGAAACAATGTCAAAATATAGGAATATAGAATATATAGGCAGATTTTATGAAATTCTTCTGCCGTTTCCAGTATCTTTTGTATTTTTTATTTTTAACTGTAGTTCTCCCCTAATACATCCTTCATTTGCAATTTTTACAAATGTTATCATTGAGAAAAGTTATATACAAGCTTGACTGAAAATTTATGCACATATTCTTTATTTATACCTTAATTTGTAGGTTAAATTGAGACAGTTATTATGACTTTTTTCTGTTTATATATTCCATGAACAAATCTAATTTTTAAAATCTTCACACAGTATCTTTTGAAGTACTGACAATCAATAAGCAAATTTTAAAAAGGAACTTATATCTAGTTTTACATCAACTTCTGTTCCAGAACATAACTTTCTAATACTTATGGCTGATAAAATATAAAGATGCCTATCCTAAGTTCATTAGTCAATCTGCTGACAGAAAATTGCACATCAAGTATAATTACGTTCACATACAAAATGTTTAGCACACTTATGGCTTTAATCTTAAGAAACTAAAATTATTTCAAGCATCCCCTCCCCAAAATTTCCCATTATACAGTGCGTTTCAAAAAGAATATAAGTATTTTGAATGCATATATTTATTAAACTGTACGACATACGAATATAAAACTTTACACACATATGTACGAACCTCTCAAATTCAGATTACAGATGTTCAATATGCCTCCATCAGCGACACGAACAATATCACGTCGATACTCAAATTACTTCGATATTCAGGCAAGCATGTCCGTTGTCACTGGTGGCAGTACGGATCCGGTTCTTCACCTCTTCCAGGTTCTGTGGGAGTGGTGGGACATAAACTTTAATGAAACCGCACAGGAAAAAGTCACAGGATGTCAAATCCGGTGACCGTGGAGGCCAGTTATGCTAAATTGCCGGCTCCTCGAAGACCAATTTAACGGTTCAGTAGAGTTTCATTCAGATATTCACGCACATGGCGACACCACGGACGGGGCTGCCCCGTCTCATTGAAAAATGAAGTTGTCTTCGTGCAGCTTTGGGAACAACCAGTTTTGTAACATTGCAAGATACTGCTGACCGTTAACAGTGTTTCCATCAAAGAAGAATGGCGTAAACAAAGATCGGGATATCACACAAAACACATTGATTTTGGGCGAATCTCATACATGTTCAATGGCTGCATGTGGGTTTTGTAGGCCCCAAATTCGAACATTGTGTTTGCTTGCACGACTAACATGAAAAGACGCTTCATCACTAAACACAATGTGTTGTGCGAAAGTGTTATCATTATCAATAGCATCAATAATCTTGTTACAAAATGACAGACATTTGCGTTTGTCATCAGGACGCAGAGCCAGTAACAAATGTAACTTGTACAGCTTCATAACCAAACAATGTCTCAAAACATGTCATATTACAGTTGTAGGTAGTTGTAACTCCTGAATGGCATGACGAGTTGATTTTGTAGGACTACGTTGGAAAGCAGTCTGAATTTGTGCAACATTTTCATCAGGAACATGAGGGCGGCCAGGACTCTTTCCTTTACATACATAGCCTGTATTCACAAACTTTCAATACCAACTGCAAATGTTCCACCCATTCAAAAGATCACTCTGGCACGTAAACTTGAAACGTCTTTACACCGTAATCAACGAATTGGACTTTGCAAACTCGAGAATATAAAGTGATTTCTTCAGTGGAGTAGCCATTTTAAACATGTGACGGTTACCATGCAAAACAGAAGACAACTGACATCTAGTGGCTATTAATATAAACTAGACTATGTATTCGTTTTGCCAATAGTTGAGCCGAGGCGCAGTGATCAATAGTTTTGGACAAAATAACACTTTGTAATACGTATATTCTTTTTGAAACATGCTGTATATTGCATTAATTTTTTAGAAAGTTAATTCAATATATAATAACATGGAAAAGAAAGGAAAAATTATCACCTTTTCTATAAGTAACTGTTTAGTAACATCATGACATCTTTGTAGCTGTTCTTTTGTTTTCTCATTTAACTTCTGTTGGGTTGTAAGCTGCCTTTTTAATTCTTCATTTGCCTGTAACAAGAAAATGAGCTCAAAATACAAAAATGATTTCTTTCACAACCTAACACAATTGCACATTAAAATGAAGAGTTTAACGCATTTGCATTCATAAGAATCCGATATTTCAAAACCTAACTTTTTTTTCAATAAATTACTTAAAATTATTAATAAATAAACAAAAAAGATTGTTACTGACAGATAAATATGACCTTTTTTTACAATTATTAAATATTACATGAATATGTATAATAATGCATTAAATACTAAATACCATATATTTTAATTACCTACATAACTGCCATTAAAATTATAACAAGAATAACACAAATTTTTCTAACAGATTTGCTACATCAAAATTAGAAAAGCTCTGTTATTTTATATCTGATCTTTAACTTACTGCAAATGCCATGAACTTTAACAAAATTTGGTAATTCAATTATCATATACCGAGGTAACTTCAGATATCTCATAACTTTTCCCAATTAAGTTAAGATTACAATTGAAACATGCCATCTGAGCCCAAAGAAATTTCTCATGATTACACTTGACTTATAAGGCAACTACTATTACATAGGTAAAGATTAATATTTCATTCAAATGACAAACATTATTAAAATAAAATAACTAACAGAAATATATATATATATATATATATATATATATAGATGTGGCCAAATTATTAGACTCAAAGAAGATACTTTCAAAATTATCTGATTTAGTTTACTAACTTCAAAAATGCATATTTACTGATAATTTTTCAGTTCTTGAAACTTTTGCTTTTCTGAACATACCCATATTTTTTACATTTTTACATCATAGTGCCATATCTGGATGAATTCCACTATGTTAGTTATTTCTTTGTTTTCTTCTTTTGCTTGCACTTTCTCAGTATAATGAACATTAAATACTTTAGAGTTCATTTCTAGTATACTTCTTGTCCAAAGCGACATTTTTGCATTATTGTTGGTTCAAAAATCAAACAGGGGTTATATTATACATGAAAATACTATATTTTACAGACTAAGCCATTGCTATATTTAGTTTCCCAGTTAGTTCCAGTTTAAAATACATAAGTTCTTCCAAATCTTCAGCATTCATTATGCTCAAGATTATTACTCATACTGAATGCTTTACGGTTTATACACTCTACATTAAAAACACATTTGTTCACCTATGCACGTGTATATTGTGATATATTTTCATTGACAGAGAGAGGATCAGTTCATCACTAAATTATAGCTAAAGATAACTAACTAATCACATTTCTCGGAGATTTTTCTTACAAAGAAAATGTACAAGAATATTAATAGATAAAATTTTAATTAAAACTAAAAAGAAAGTAACTAAACTGAATAATAATTTGAATAGAATAGCATCTGTAATAAAACATCAATAAATGCTTTACATACTTTACTTCATTCTTGAAACTTTTCTGTCCAAATATATCACATTTTAACCACGGGAAGTTCATTTCTGCCTTTTTTCTAAGTTTATAAACTTTAATAACTTATTAAATACTGTTCTTTTCACTACCCAGCTGATATTTTTAAGATCCACAGAATAAAATTTTAATTAGATTTTATTTATTATGTACATATTTCTGTTTAATATGCATATAATTTCACTAATTTCTTTAGTGTCTTCAGCATTTTTGTCACATTTACCTTTTCAACTCTCGGTATAATTCATGGCTTTTTAAGAAACTTTAATGAACAGGGTTCACAGAAGTTTGACTAACATTGAATTTTCCAGCAATTTCTCTCTCTGATAGTACTTAATTTCATTGATGACAATTTGAACAAATGCAATTTTGTCAGGTTAAAGGTCTTTTTACCAACCCATTATAAAAAAGTTTTTTTTTTCCCCCAAAGAAGTAAATAATAAAATAAGAGATATAAAAAATAGCATGTAAAATTAAATAAAAAATTCACCAAACTAATACCTAAGAAAAAGAAAAGTATGCAAAATGTCACTTTATCAAAATTTCTAATAAAACCAATTTGTGAAAAAATATGTAAAAAAATTAAGTTAAAAACAGTAGCAATAAATTGCTGTCAAAAAATAACACATGCATTTCAAATATTATAAATTGTGACTATTAATAAAATGTCATCATTATTAACTTCATTAAATCAAACAAATTATATGCAAGATCTAACTTGACAATTATCTGAAAATACAAAAATGTATATTTTCAAATAATTATCAACTATAAATGAAATAATACTGCTAGTTACAGAAGGTTTCACCCAAATTGTTCTGTTTGAGTTGAATAATGTAGCTATATCTATAGAAGATTACTGTAGCTCTAAAGGAAATCATCTTTTGTGAAATTCGAACATTATTCAACATGTTATGAAAATCAATTAAAAACTGGGAATATTTTAAACATTGCTTAACTGGGGAAAAAAAAAAGTGATTACAAACTATTCAACTTTTAAATAAATAAAAATTACCCTTTGAAGTTCTTCTATTCGGTTATCTCGCATTTCTAGGTCTAAAGCAGATTTGCTCTCAAGCTCTTTGATTTTGTTAATAGTAAGATCAGTTTGGACAGACCGATAAACAGCATGTGATGGACAGACAGGAGGTGCCATCAAGCTTGAATAGTCTAGACCAGTACTGAGGGGTGTATTTGATGGAGAGCTCATGTTTGTCTGCACTGGAGCATACTGGGAATGCAGAGTTATCAATCATCAACAATACAGAAAGTACCAATACAATACTTTTTTTTTAAAGGTAATCAATATTAAATAAATGGATTACTAAAATTAATACTTTAGAATGAGAACAATAATAATGAAATTGTAGCTTTATATATTAATATCACTCTAATCATGATAAAAGCAACTGTATTAGAAAAATTCTATACATTTTAAATTACATAAAACCAGACAAAAGTCAATGCAATATCAAAAAATAAATAAAAATTCAAAAATTGGTAATAGTATCAAGGGAACTTTTTATTTATATTGTCAAAAGGTTGCACTGTTTCATTACCATATATTTTTCTTCTAAGTCCAGATGTTCAATATCGGGGAATAATCTAAAATCTGGACTTCCAGACCACCAGCAATCTTTTTTTAATGCTATATAATGTACATCTGATATATGTTCATAATAAAACACATGGGAGAGCCAGATTAGTAATTACACTTTAGCATTGAATAAAATACATCAATACTGCAGAAACAATAATTTATTAGCGTAAATCTTCATGACAAATAATTTAGCTCCCAAGGGGCCTTTTTAGCTTGGCATACATCTAAAACTGAAGGATTCTACATTGAAACATCAATGATTTTATATCTAATTTATATTTCTGACATGAATCTGGTGAATCTTTATTTATTATTAAAAAAGTCTAAATCAGTTTTTTTTTTTTTTTTTAAATATTAGTAACTGAATACCAAAGAGCATGTAAACCTTTGATTTGACATTATGCTTGGGGATAGCTACAGACATCAGCTAACTAACTGCCCTGCAGAGTGTTAAGTGTGTTGATGAGGAGAAATTTAACAGAAATTTCCACATGCAAAAAATAGACTTTTTAAACGATACTCATAGGCCAAAAGATTACATTTAGTATCGTTTGAATTGTAAATAACTGATTTGTTATTAAGTTAAGACCAGACTGATGCAACTACACAGGCAGCAGAATTTATGAAAGATAAAATTTTTAGAATTTAGAGAAACACCGAGTAACAAAGTTAAGGAACAGCAAAATCTTTTGAATATACGGAAGGCAATGAGACACAAAATTAAGGGGCAGCAAAAAATTTTGAATTTAGGGAAGCACTTGGTAGCAGAATTTTGGACCCGTTATAACTGCATCAGGCTGCAAAATGGCTAGCACCAACCCTGGATAAACCTTACGTATATTTGGAAATGTATTTATTTGCAATTTAGATAAGCCTTAAGCATGTACAGAAAATAATTATAAATACAGCAAATAATTAAGCTAATATAATCCAGCTTTAACATGTATAATCCAGCAATATGTGATATAAGCAACACAAAATTTAGCAGAAAAATATGTCTTAAGTCACCAGTCCCATGATAAATTGCCAATAGTGTATAGTGAACACTAGCTAAGCTTCATGATGATAGCCGTGAATTTCAATTTTCAGATATTACAAATGAACAAAATTTTTCAACTAATGGAATTTATACAGAAATGAAAGTAAATGAAGGCAATATAACATAAGTTTTTCGTTGCAATTACGATGCCTCAATCATCAATCAATTAATGATTAGCGAAGTAGTATATCATACTAGATCCAAAAAATACGACTATTGATAATGAAGAAAGTGATGGAAAGGTTGATGAGAACAAAAAAATGTTAATTGATAATAAATATAGTGGTAATTCTCAACATGATAATTATATAACTTGAAGAACAAAGCTTTGCAACTGAACAAGAAATTATGCAAAGAATTAAAGAGAAAGTATTAACATAAAAAATTAAGCAACTTAAACAACTTACAATGAAAGAAACGTTTAAAAAGCAAACATATATAAATGTTGAGCTTTTTTTTTTTTTTTTTTTTTTTTGGTAAATAAATTTCGATTCCCTTAAAAGGTCATTAATGCTTCATTAATTCATAAATCACAATTTCGTATTTTAAATTTTATAATTTCTACACATCATCTTACTAGATTTAAACTAATGATCTAATAACCATAAAAATTCGGAATCAACAAAATCCTCAAGAGTCTGAATCTCGAAATTTTGTACTGCAAATGTCAATTAATTTTCATTCTTTTTTATACAGCTATGAAGGAAAACACAATTTAAAGTCTGACTTAAGAAATACAATGCCAGAGAAGTTACTGAGAAACTTTAAAAATGAAAGACCTAAGCATTGTATTATAGTGGTTATTAATAAACATGATACACCAGCCAAAACTGTTCCCAGGATGTGGCAATGCACCACACTGCTATGATAGAGTAGAACCTACTAAGACAAAAATAAAGGGATGCAGTGGTTGTCAACAAAAAAGGGTGAGAAGGGATTTTAGGAAAATATCAGGAAGGTTCTGCTTCGCAAATTCACTTCATTAAATAACCATCTATTTAAGATGCAGTGGGAAAGAAACTGACAATGATCCAGAGAATAAGAAAAGAACATATACTGAAGCAGGTTTCATTACCATTAAACCTAAATTGCACAGTAAGAACAGATGAAAGGCAGTGAGTGCTCAACCTCAAAATTTATTCATTACTTGTCCCAGAGAATTTTTAATGCAACTCATGCAGCAATAAAAAATTTTAAAAATTAAATAACATGCAACATATATAAAATAAAAGTGAAATAGTTGTATTGTACTTAATTATAATTATGCTTGAAATTAGAGACAAAGGAAAAAAACATCGTTTTTTAAAATGGAACAATCATTTTGATAAAAACAATTTATGGGAAAAAAAAAATCACTTCAATACAGAGGGCCTACTTAATAAAAACATGACCCAGAAGTTAAATCTTTGTTTTATGCTGATTAAATTTTCATGTCAAATGGATATCTACTAAGCAAATATAAAAATACAATATTTACCATATAACTCTGAGGTGTAGGAGACTTAGAACCAGCATACCGACTAGGGCTATGACCCTACAACACACACAAAAAAACTTCAATAACCACTCTTTAGTTAATCTTTATGTTCTATTTAAGAAACAGAGATCATACTCACCTTAAAATAATCATTTATTTTCTTGGCACTTTCTCGTGCAGACTTTGAACCTAAGAAACAAAAAAGTCAAAAGATAAATAGTAATCATAAGAGACAGAAACCTTTTCTTACAGACAAATCTTTTTATGTAAAGATGAATATCGCTAAGAGAGTTTTCACAAACCAGAGGTTAGGAACTTCTCAAGCAATAAAAATTATCAAGAGGGGAAGTTTATTAAAAGCAACAAGACATTGAACTTGAAAATTGTGATATGAAGATGTGATAAGAAGCATGTCTAAAGAGACAATATGTAAATTTTTAGAATAATCTATAATGATTTATCTATTTAAGATTATTAATATATCTTAAATTTTATGAACATATATAATCTACAAAAAGGAAATATTTTCTGTATGTTTTACTATTTGAAAAGTACCATCTGAAACAATAACTACTAGGGAACTTGTGATGACTCATTATAGTCCCATGCTGAGAATAAAGGCTGAGGCAAAAAACGGTTGAGGAACATTGGGTTATATCAACTAAAAATCACGTGAAATGCTTCAAAGCTTTGATATGAATTTAGACTGATAACATGTTATGCAGCAATATTGGCATCAAAAATAATACTAACTGTTTCTTTGGATTTCATGAAAGGGTAAGTAATTTTGCTGTGAAAGGTGCCAGATAAAAGAAATAAACAAAATTATCGGAATACAAAGATCTTTTCCTTTTGTGTGTCTGGTAGCATAACAAGAGAATATTTTTTGTCATTCTAATAAGCCAAATCGTTACAGAGCCATGCAGGTTCAGTATGAAGGAAAACATTTTTTTTTCGGGGGGGGGATGCTCTTTAGGCACATAGCTGGATGCTGAAATTAGGGAATTCTGAAATACATGAGGTGGAGGAATTTGTTCTCTGGGGCTAGATATAAATGGTAACTTTGAAAAGAGGCTTTCCATTGAGCATCATGCTATTTTATTGTTTGAATGGCTCTTGCATTAATAAAGAAATAAAATGTAGACAGACAGTCTCTGAGAGTTATTATTCCTTAAGTCATTTAAGGCGTGTTATTTCATTTTGTCTGATGCACTAGATCTACATAAATAATAAAATACATTAGTACTTTTTCATTAAAAAAATTAATATTTTATCCTCGGGGCAAAGAGGCAAAGAGCAATGCATAATTGTAATTGCTGCAGACTTCTGAACTGGATTGGAAAAAAAAGGTATGACATAACTTTTTGACCATTGCAAGATCATATGAGGCATGGCTGCATCAGAAGTAAGCTTTAATTTATATCATTTCTATTGCATTGTGCAAATACATTTCAATAAGTTTGATATAAATTTTTTCCCCAACCAAAAAATCACCTACAAATTATTAAAGCATGGTGATATATGACGAACAAATCTTAATCCTAATATTAATATGCTGTAAATTTCCAAAGCTTATCTATCTCATTGATTAAATTAGGTTAACTTAAAACTAGCACCAGACAGGGGAAAATATAATGTTATTATTTATGAATAAAAACTAGAACAATAAAGTTTTTAAACAATACATACCATCATCTTTCCTTTTCCGTTTTCTTTCGCCTGTACTTCTGTGATGTTTCTCAGGAGTCTATAAAAAATAAGGCAATTTTATACAAAATCAGCAATGTATTTTAAAAACCTGATGTGGACATCACATAACTTCTTTGAACCAGCCTATTAAATTACATGTATCTTTTGCTACACTTCATACGCACACACACACACTTTTGGTACTACCTACAGCAATAAAAAACAGCAGATGCAAAACTAGATATTATTTAGTAGAAGGTCCGAGATTCCAATGTAACATATGCAGAATGATCTAAATCCGGGCTTCAAAGCCAACAACTTTTTATCCTCGCTTTTTCTTTTTCTGCGGGCGGGGGTATGCTTTACGCATGCGCATTTGATTTTTCAACCAAAAATAATAAAACATGTGGAGAGTTCCGATTCTTAATTTCACTTCAGCACTAAATAAAATAATTCATTATTCAAGATACAAACATTTTAGCATAAATTTGTGTGATCAATAATTTGACTCTGCAGCTGCATATCTGCTAGGCATACATCTCAAATCGAAATACAGAAACATCATTGATTTTACACCTACTAATATTTTATATCTCTGATGACAACCCGGGGAAAAATATTTATTATATTTTGTTTTCATCACCCTATGTTTATCCAACACATGACAACTTATGTAATAACTCATGCAGCGATGCCTAAACAATTTTTTTATATTAATAATTGAATAACAAAAAGTATGTCAGTCTTTTCTGTTGGCAATGATTATTTTTAAGCTAAATGCCGTTATGAAATGCTGATGAGAAGAAATTTAACAAATATTTTTTTCCATATGTTAAAAATATATTTCGTTAATGATACTCAGGCCAAAAAATTACATATAGTGCTATTTGAATTTAGAATAACTGATTTGCTATTCACATACACCCAGAACTAGCACTAGAGCTCGTATGGCCACACCGGGTGGCAGAATTTAGGGAAAACAAAATTTTTGGAATTTAGAGAAGCACCGAGCAACAAAATTTTCAGATTTTAGGTAAAGCATTGGGACCCAAAATTTAGAACTTAGAGAGGTGCCTGATAGCAGAATTTAGGATCCACACAGACTGCATCAGGCAGAAAGATGTCTATCTAGCACCGGCCCTCCATAAGCCTTAAGTACATATGAGAATTCATTTATTCAGGACTCAGATAAGCCTTAAGCATTTGCCAGAAATAGAAGTAAGTGTAATATATAACTAAACTAATGCAACTCGGGCTTAATTCAGTGCACGGTAGAAGAAAGACTAGCAAAACAACATGTCTTTTGTCTCCAGTCTCGTGACACATAGCCAATAATGTATAGCAGATGCTATTAAATTAGTCTAAAATTATACTTTAAGGAATTTCAGTTAATATAGCAAATTGCTCTGTTCCTTAACTTTATGATTTGATCCAGCTTATTAATTTTTGCAGGCTGTTATTATTACTGCAATTTTATGGAAATTAAACTTTCGATTACGTCAAAAAGCGTTTCTAATTCTAGAGCTGCAACAGGTTCTACAAAGTGAAAGCATGTTTCAATGTCCATTAAACAAAAAGTGGAACTGCTGCAAGAAATGGATAAAGGTATATCCGTCTCGAAATTATGCGAGGAGTATGGCACTGGAAAGTCAACTGTATATGACATAAGAAAACGGAAAAAGGAACTTTTTAATTTTTTTGTGAAATTCCAACACCCCACTTGCAATGAATAACAGAAAAATTATTCGTTACACTAAAAGTGATGATCATGACTACATGATTATTGGATGGGTCAGACAGCATTGCAGTGAGGGCATGGCATTGACAGGCCCAATGCTAATGGCGCAAGCCAAAATATTTCATGAACAAATGAACTTAAAAACTGAGTGCACATATTTGACAGGTTGGTTAATGAAATTTAAAAATCACCATGGTATAAGACAATTAAAAATTTCAGGCTGAACTATTTGCAGATGAATTCATTGAACTCGCTAACACTGAAAATTTATCTCCAAAACAAATTTACAATGCTGATGAAACTGGTCTTCTCTAGTAATATGTACCACTAAAAATCTTGGCAACCAACCTCTATAAGCTCTAACTCCTCCTCCTCTAAAGGCTCCAACTGGTTTCAAAGATGCCAAAGCAAGACTAAGAATTTTAGCTGCAGGAACGCCCAAGCATAAACTTTTCGTAATCAGAAAAAAAATAGGGGACCTCGAACATTTAAAGGAGTAAAGATTTTCTCCATTATGTATCATGCAAATAAGAGAAAGTGGATGACACAAGCATTAATGAATGATTGGTTTGAAAACTGATGACACAAAAATTGTCTTGATTTAAGACAACTATACGGCTCAAATTTTAATGAAAGATAACGTATCCATATTATTCTTTCCTCCAAACTGTATGTTCATCATTCAGCCTATGGATATCGCTGAAATGCAAATACAAAGTAGCAATTTTAAAGTCCATGTTAAATTTCTTGAGTAATAGCAAGACTATTCAAGAAATTTTTTAATATTTTAGCATAAAGTCTGCCGTGTTGAGCATCGCAAGATCATGGGAGGATGTGTCTACAGATACTTTAAAAAATTCCTTGGCATAATTTATGGCCAGCTACCATATTTCATAGTGAGGATGATGCTGATGATAATCGCAAATTTGAAAGTTTTCAAATATAAACCAAAGGTGAAAGTTTCCAATTAATTTATTTTGTAAAGAAATATGGAGAAGTGGTAATAAATGAAGATGATATAACAGAAGTTTTTCACTGCAATGACAATGCCCCAATCATCAGTTAATGGATGGCGAAATTTGTAGTATAGTTAGTTCTAGATCCAGAAAATAGCAGTACTGAGAGTGAGGAAACTGACAGACAGGTTATTGAAAACAGGCATGAAAGTGCAAGTTGGCAAAAAAAGCTGAACAACGTGCGGACACAAAATTACACAAACACTAAATGTGCACATGCGACCTCAAAAAAACACAATTTAATAAAATATCAACCTTTAATATAATATTAAATATATACATATCATTAAACTAAAATAATACATGTACTTACTATTTTGCTATTAATTTTATCTTCCACTTGTAAAAAAAAAAAAAAAAATCAGTAAATCACCAAGAGATTGTAATGAGTTAACCTTTTTTAAGATGCTCTTTGTGTAACTTAATTTAACAGTTGATGCATGAATACTGTACACAACATTACAACACACTAATATACATATTTATGTTATATATTACTGCCCATTTTCAGGCAATGACAAGTTTTAGAGATAAATATATATAACTGTTACTATAGCTTTCAATTATCTTCATTTTTAGTTCAATAAACAGTACTTTATATAACACAAAAAAAAAAGTAGTCATGTGAGATAGTTACAAAATAACATATAGTTAAAGGAGAAATAAACTATTTTGTCTCAGTCTCACTCGATCCTGATTAAAAATTTTTAGGGAAAAAGCTTTTTCTTTTTTGCTACTTTTGCAGCCAACTTTTCTAATTTCCGTTTGCGAGCTAATCTCAATTTCTTTTCAGCAGCTTTTATACAATCCATTGATAGTTTTTTTATTTTCTGCAATGTTTAATTGCTTTTTTTTTCTTTTTTTTTTTTTTTTAATTCTCGCTCCTTCTTTTTTATCTCTAGCTCTTCTTTGTACAGTTTATGAGCATTCCTTAAATTTTTATATAAAGTTTTGTGTACTGGCGACATACTGGATTTTAACTGTGTACTGGATTTTTACATAGAGAAATAACATAACGATCTATGCTCCGAATTACAGTATGCCACTTTACACACGCTAAAACTCGCACGTGCTCTGGATAACGTCAGTAGGGTATCCATATGTCTGATGGATGGTGCGAGCACCGATCGCTGAAATTATTGAAGTCAGCTCTCGTTTGACGGTTTCTTGCTCTTCTTTGATTGAATATTCGTATGCATCTAGTTCCGCATTTCCACATAAGCCCCCTACTTCGCCTTGATGTGAAACAACGCATTTCGCGATCTCTGGCATGATGTGAAGTTTTTTTTTACAAAGAAAAGAGGAAGAGAGAGAGTATGTCCTCCATTTACCCCCCCCCCACACACACACACACATTTGCCGGTCGTGATTTCTCAACGGTTCTGCATCAATCTCAGAAACAGCCCGGGTGACGTTCAAAAACGCGGAATTCCACAAAAACTTTCATGCCTGATTGAAAATGAAAAAAAAAATTTGATTGACAAATTAGTCAGAATTCTTTACACAGTAATTATGTCTGTCTACAGAATTAAAGAGAAAGTATTAGAAAAAAAAAATTTAAACAACTTACATTGAAAGAAATGTTCTATAAAGTAAACAAATAAATATTATTACGAAATGTACAGGCACAATAAGATGGCTTCCCTGCAAAGCAGTTTTAGGGTTCCATAAAATAGCAAGGAAGGCAGGGTTGCCACATTGGCGGAAAAATCACCCATTTGGCTAAAAAATTGACGATATGCCATGGACGGATGGAGAACCTTCTGGAACAAATTCTTACAATCTCAGAATCAGTTTAGCCCAAAATGTTCTCGAACACAAGCCGAAAGCTACATAAACCTGCTGGTCCGCAGTCAGTGAGTGCCTCGTCTAGAGTATCGAGTTAATGTCTCGAGTTGGTCAGTCCGTGCGGAGTCGATCGAGTTGATAGCTGGGCAGCAAGTGCCGAGTGGGTCGTCGAGTGCATCAAAAGAGTCTCTAAGTGTATCATCAAGAGAAAGCGCTGAGCTCTGGGAACGACTGAACTGAAGCTGTCTTGGCTGTTATAGCCTGATAGTGTGAAGGCTGTGTCACTGAGTTTCAGCGTGTTTATAGTAGATCTTCAACGACTGTAAAAAGTGACTTTGGAGCTGTCTTGATTAATATTGGCTATAGGAAGTGTGTTTCGATACTTCATCAAGTGTCGTTGTTATTCATTGCAAATTTACTAACCCCGTACGAACGTGAAGGAAGAAAATAACGTAACAGCTGAAATCAAAACCAGACTGAAGGAGATCAAAGCCACACTGGAAGAGAAGAACGTCGGATGAGAAGAAATAAATGTCGACCAAGAAAAGATGCAAAAGATGAAAGTGGTACTCACAGATGAAAGTAGAACTTACAGAAGAAACTGGAGACATACAAGAAAATATGGAAATGACAAAAGTGGCATTTGAAGAATCAAAGGATGAAGAAATGAAAGAAGTAGCTAATTAATTGCCTGAGAAAGATCAAGAAATGTTGGAGGAAACATTTAACAGGATTAAAGGAAAAGAAGGAAAACATGAAGAAATAAAAGACGGTAAAGAAGATTTTGAATCTCACGTGCCAGAAGTAGAGATAACGTGACTGTCATGATCGTCAAAAGTGATAGTGAAATGACGAAGTTGCAAGCAGCAAGTGTTGAATCATCTGAAAGTGCATGTGATGCAGAGATGGGAGAAGCTGATGTACAGCTTAAGCAGTGTGCTCTAGTATGGCAAGAAAATTTACCCACTTTGCAAACTACGTGTGCGTCTCATAGTGCAGATTTTGCAAACAAGGACTTAATTCTAAACCAGGATGCTTCTATTTGTAAAGAATCAGGTTCTGTTCATGACTCTGATGCAGAATTTGAAGCTGGTTCTCAGGAAACGGGGGAAAACGAGTATGTACCAGTTGCTAAGAATACTAAGGTGAACTGTATGCATGCTGCGAATGAACTATAGAGTGGTGAATAAACTGTTTCACATCTCTCTGTGGATGAAAAATCTGAAAGAACTATATCTTCAGACTGTGATATGCAAAACAGAAATGCATCTGAGAACTGCAGTGGAAAATTATTTGACCCGGGTATAAATTAATGAAAAGACTGAAACTCTAATTCTTTCTGAACCTTAATTTGTATAATTTATAATTGTTATGTGTCTAATTTGTGTATTTAACTTGTATATAGTGTAAATATTTGCTTCTTTAGTTATGTTACCTAAAGCCTTTTGATTGTATTGAATTTGGCTTCTGACCAAGGGTTGTACTGCCCAGGACGTGCAGTCCTTGGGAGGGCCTTGGGTTATGAATTTACAGGCGCGATAAGATGACTTCCCCACAAAGCAGGTTTAGAGTTATCCATAAAATGGCAAGGGAAGCTAGGGTTGCCACATTTGGCGACATGCCACGGACGGATGGAGAACCTTCTGGAACGAATTCTTACCGGTTTAGTCCAGAATGTTCTAGAACACAAGCCGAAAGCTATATAAACCCTGCTGGTCCGCAGTCAGCGAGTGCCTCGTCTAGAGTATCGAGTTAGTCAGTCTGTGCAGAGTCGATCAAGATGACAGTCGGGCAGCGAGTGCTGAGTGCATTGAAAGAATTTTTTAGTGTTTCGCTGTTAGTGCATCGTCGAGAGAATGCTCTGGGTGCGGTTAGTGCCCCGGGAATGACTGAACCAAAGTTGTCTGAACCATTATAGCCTGATAGTGTGAAGGCTGTGTCACTGAGCTTTAGCGTGTTTATAGTAGATCTTCGACGACTGATAAAGTGATAAAGGAGCTGCCCTGATTAATCTTGGCTAAACAAATGTTTCGATACTTCATCAAATGTCATTGTTATTCACTGCAAATCTACGAATGTGAAGGAAGAAAATAACGTAACAATATGAAGTTTTTTTATACCCTTAGTTTATAAATGCTTCATTATTTTATAAATCACGATTTCATATTTTTAATTTTATAACTTCTACATGCCATCTTACTATATTTTAAAACTAATGATCTAATATAAAAAAATCCCAAATCTGGGATTATCGAAGTCCTGACGAGTTTGGATCTCGGACTTTGTAGTCCAACATACAAAATTACATACAACCATCATGGAAAAAAAAATAGTAAAAATGGGCATTTCCATTGAAATATGATATCCAAAATTTTTCCCCATTACAGTATTTCCTTTACTTCCTACAACGAAGTAAAAATGCACATAACAGTTATAGGAACAATATAACTACTAATAAATATCATCACAAGTTAATCAGGTATTTGTGTACTATCTGGTACTTGGCAATACATCATGAAAAATATCACCAACAACAGCTTCCAAGTTTGCCATTAAGAGCCTGCTAAAACACAAATACCTTTAATTACAACAAATGTATCAAATACTTACATCTAATTCTTTGTCACTAGGTTGAGATCCATAACTAGCAGCACTGAGATTAGAATCTGGATTGTGGTTAATATTACTGTTACTGCTGGTCCCTGAGGAAGCGTGGTTGATTCCTAAATTTGAAGATTGAGCTGGAAGAGGCAGATTTCCTGGAAGTGTCATCATGGGGGAGCTCTGCTGTACAATTTGTTGCTGAAGCTGAAGTGGTAGCTGCTGAGCATGAATATTAAAATTGACTAGACCCTAGAAAACAAAAAGAAACAATATCTCTCAATTATATATGCTATTAATAAACAGAATAATCAAATATGTCAAAAAATTGTAAGACTTTATTAATCAAAATCAGTTAATGGAGATTGAATAAAATGTTGCAAAATAACATAATTAAATATGCTTTACCCTACAAGGTCACACACTACAACAAATAACATTTTAGGTACCATAGCAGTTTCTTTATAAGCATAATATACTTAAAAAATGCAGAATCATTCATATTATAGGCTAATTGCTTCTTGCGGGTTTTCCATTTTCTATTAACCACTTTCATATAAGATATTTTTAAAACATATAATTATGCATTGCTGGTAGTTAAATACTTGCTGTTTAAACTGTGGGCAGAGCTGCCCTTATACATAATAAAATTTGATATATTTTATATTAGGAAGTATTGGTTATATTCTTTAAGGAATACAGATTTATCAGGAGAGTAAAAATATCACTATTTATAATATAAACCTTTATAAAAGTTTGGTGCTTTTTCCAAAAAATACTTCTCTTACAAAACCTGAACTGCAAAAGATACAGTACAGTTTTTGTTAAAGCAAACAAATACCTATTTTGTTTGAATAAAAATTTTAATTTTAACAGAGATATAAAAACCTAGTTAGATAACATTTAAAGATCTTTGAAAAAGCATATGGTTAGTTATATTGTACAAATAATATATTAATATGGATAATATTTCAATTACTTCTGCATTGCAGTATTTAGTGATAGTGAGATGAAAATTCATCAGTTAAAACACAGATAAGATATTATAATTAACTTGATATTGAATTATTTTGTGTGACCAAGAATAACCATTAAATACAGTTAGTTCCTAAAAATATATGACTTCAGTTGTAACCATAATAGCTTTTCAAAAGCAAAATGTAAGTCTACATCTTGATTACTAAATTGGTATTTACATGTCCTTATGTCTAAAAATCTAATCTAACTTATATAATTTAATAACCCATATATGGACACCATTAATTAAACTATCTGGATGTCTTCAAATCGCTAAATATCAAGAACATTCATGTAAAGCAAGATATAACCAATTTTTGAAAAATGCAATTTACTCTGCACTGCTTCATTTAACCAAATTTTTCAATAAATATGCATTAAAAATGTTTAGAACAGCGGTTCTCAACCTTTTGACTAATGCGTACCATCTAAACAAAAATTGAAAACCTTCAGTACCACCGCTACAAAGTACTACTACCACCACCACTCTTGAACAAAGCTCAGATCCCATAAATTTATGAGTGTTAGAGAAAAAAATTCAATCAGGATTTGGGGGTTTTAATTTTTGAATTTAATAGTTAAAAATACTTTGCTTCTTTGCATACCACCGGTTGAGAACCCCTGGTTTAGAAGCTTTTGACAGAAGAATTCATACACAAACTAGACAAATCAAGAAAATATTATGTTAAATGCCATGAACGATAAAATATATGAAGATAACAATATACTTTATCATTTACTACCTTAAAATAAAATTTCATAAAAGCTTTTTGATTTCTGATATCTAGCATACATCATCCATAATTTGCAAATAACGTACATGTTCTCAAACACCCACATTAACATATTTCACATGACAATATTAAATTATGTAACAATAATATAAAAAAGATAAATTTAATCATCAGTAATTATTTTTAAGTATTTTCTCTTCCTTGAAAACTTTCTTCCTTCTAATTTACTTTGGTTTAAAAAAAACAACATCTAATAAATAATATTTACATTTTAAAGTTCTATTGAACATGTTCCACTGAACAACAAAATTTTGTAATGAACTTCAAATATTGAACATGATAGTATTTTTTATGCTGATTTGAAATTCTTTGACCCCATTTTCCTATCAGAAATAATTTTTTTATCATTCACTTTTTATTTTCTTTAAAAAGTTATTTTTCATGAATCAGTATTACAATTACTAATAATTATCAAAGAATATAACTCAACTAACTAGTTAGTTGTTACTAACTATAATGTTTTGGTTTCATAAGTTTTCTTATTGAAACCAAATCATTGTCAGCTAAAATTATGATGTTCTTTTTATCTTTACAATATATTACCATGCTGTACAAAACTGACGAAAATGTTCTCTCTGCTTGCTAACTAATTTATTAATTGTGTAAAATAACATACATATTGTTCCTTGGTTCTCCAGAGGAAAATCAGAATGAGAGCCCTGAAAAATTAATCTTAAGCAAAATATTCCACCCCCAGTGCTTTTATAATTTATCAGAAGCTTGATTAGTTTAGTTTCCAGCTTTTTACTTTCTAAATACAGAAGTTTATTATGGTACAGTCAAAAGTCGTTAATCCGGACTCGTCGGGACTTCGGCGATTCCGGATTATAGATCATCAGATTAAATCTGGTAAGATGGCATGCAGAAATTATAAAATTAAAATATGAAACTGTAATTTTGAAATAAAGAACAATTATGATCAAGGGATCAAAATTTACAAAGAAAAAGCTTAATATTTATTTGTTTTTATTAAACATTTCTTTCATTCGGAATGGTTAGATAAACAAAGGATACGTCTTTATTCATTTTTTGCAGCAATTCCACTTTTTCTTTAATGGACTTCGAAACATACTTTCGCTTTGTAGATCCTTTACATATTAGTAAATATATACCAGAAATTCTATTTGACATAATCGAAAGTTCAAGCTTACTTTTATAAAATTGCTCTAACAGTCTGCAAAAAATAATAAGCGGGATCCAATTCGAAGATTAAGGAACAATGCAATCTGCAACATTAACTGAATTAGATAACTTTAGCTTAGCTTATATGTCCGTTATCATTAAACGCGCATTCGTAAACGTATTTTGCTGTGGCAACACGCATATTCGCAGCCGTAAAGGTCTTGCGTGCATGCGTCAACGCAACGCATGCACAGAAAGTTTGTAGCTTTGAGGTCCGGATTATGGGTGTCTGAATTAACGACTTTTGACTGTATTTTTAAAGGACTTGATGAGATTCAGCCATTTTCAATAACCTTTATATGCAGGATAACTAGCTATTTCTAATGTGAGGAGAAAAGAGATGCTGTTCTTAATTTTGGTTTTTCCGGTATTGGAGAACTTTATTTTCCATAAACAGAAACACTTTCCCCTTTTAGCTTGCCTTCTTGATGTAACTTTGTTTTAAGGGATGGCAAGTACACTATAAAGCATACTGAGAACTCAAAAATTACTTTTTATTCTTTGAGGTATTGCCAGTCTTTTAGGGCAAAAATTTTAATATTGCTTTTCTCTTTTTCCCCAATACTTATACAGTCAAAAGTCCTTAATTCGGACACCCATAATCCGTAATGATCTATAATCCGGACCTCAAAGCTAAAAACTTTCTGCGCATGCGCCGCGTTGGCACATGCGCACAGGCGTTTTACGCGTGCGCGTAAGACCTTGACTACTGCGCATATGCATGTGCGCAAGTGCAGAATACGTTTTCGCCTGCGCGTTTATAATGTATAACGGACGGTGTAAGCTAAAATTATCTAATTATCTATTTCAGTTAATGTTAATGATTGCGTTGTTCCTTAATCTTCGAATTGGATCCCGCTTATTATTTTTTGCAGACTGTAAGAGCAATTTTATAAAAGTAAACTTGAACTTTCGATTATGTCAAATAGAATTTCCGATGCTGGAACTTCCAAAGGATCTACAAAACGAAAGTATGTTTCGATGTCCAACAAACAAAAAGTGGAATTGCTGCAAAAAATGGATAAAGACATGAAGAATGTGACAGAGAGGTTAGTGAAAACGAAAAAATTTCGATTGACAAGTTAGTCGGTATTCTCGGCACAGCAATTAACGGGACTTGAACAGCGGAACTTTGTAACTGAACAAGAAATTATGTTTGTTTGTAGAATTAAAGAGAAAGTATTATCACATAAAACGAAGCAACTTAAACAACTTACATTGAAGAAATGTTTTAATAAAGTAAACAAATAAATATTAAGCTTTTTTTTTTTTTTTTTTTTTTTTTTTTTTTTTTTTTTTTGATACCCTTTAGATCATAATTGTTCTTTATTTCATAAATTACGGTTTCATATTTTTAATTTTAGAATTTCTGCATGCCATCTTATGAGATTTAAACTGATGATCTATAATCCGGAAAAATCGATAATCCGGAATCGCCGAAGTCCCGACGAGTCCAGATTAACGACTTTTGACTGTATAAGAAAGCAACAGCACTTTACATATTCAAGGAGCACAGCTGCCAATTTCTTGCCATAAATATGGCATAAATGTTTACTGCTTTACAGAATTTACATATTTTCAAAATTAATAAAAAATAAGCAGATTCATGTCTTTACAAAACAATACTAATTGCTTCATAGCAGCATTCAAAAAACAGATAAGATTACAGGGTTGTAATAACATAATTTTTCTCTCTACTTTAAATTAATTAAAAATGGCAATATTAAGAAAATAATTACTTCAGTATATAATATCCCATCTATAGTGAGACAAAGGAAAATAACAAGAAATTTGCAGTCTTGGAAATTAACAACAAATACAAAATACAAATTAATATACATTCTCTTTAAAAATAATATATGGCATTTAATAACTGTGTTAATCATCTACATTTTATGCTAGATGTGGTACAAAATTAGAACTTTCCTCTCCTTCCTCCACACATACTAAAAATATACACAAAAATAATAAAGTCAGAGAAGCAACTGAGGTCCCATATTGCAATACTGAGTTTCCTTTCAATATCTCACATATCTGGATGACATTTCACAAAAGAACAGCAGTGCAAAACATAAAAGAAATTGCAGAAATCTGAGCCCCAAGACAACCCAACCCAGTAGGGAAGAACAACAAAAGGTGACATACCAGTTGCATTCAGTTTGTAAGAGTGGACAGTTTGTCTACACCAGTCCTAAAGCTCTAATCTGACTGAACTTCAGTGCATTCTCAGCAAATGAATCATTTATTTATTTTGTTACT